GTTAGAATTTAGTGAAACAGAAACTTACTTCAAACCAAACATTCATTTATCCAGTAAGACTATCTATGCTATTCCTGAATGCTTCTGCTTCCCTTCTTATTAAACAGCAGTCCCAACATGGGAAAAACAAGTTATCAACAGGAATATTGGATGAGACATTGTGACATTCTTTATAGAGCTTTGATATTTCCCCAATGTCCTACAAATGAACCTGTATGCTCTAGCATTGTGCGCTTGATATTCAACCGATGGCTGCAGCTCAGTGATCCCGACTGCAGCACTAGATCCATACCAATATGTGCAAAACATAAAGGAATGCATGTTGGGTAGATGATGCCTCTGAGGTCTGAACAAGCAAAAAACATAATTTTTCAACATGTTAATCTAGAGTACTCTCCTTTTAGCAAGCTAGTCGACCATAAATGAGAAGCTGTATCCGGCATTGTAAATCTCCTAGCTCATGACTCATTTTGCTTTTGCTCACATAATGGCAATGCAGTAAAACGTCGCATTGTATCCCAAGCTTCCATCTGGAGATATGGTCATATTATGGCAGCAAACCCAACTAACAGGGGGTAGGTATGTTTATGATGGGAAAATTTATTTATTTATTTACTTCATTTATATATCGCTTTTCTCAGCCCTTGGGTGACTCAAAGCAGTTAAAAAGGAAAATAGGCTAAAACTTTTCCTCCCATTGATGCTAAAGGTTTCTGATCCGGGACTGGAGCGGCTGGCATGTATTCATTGTTGTTGTATGCTTTTGAGGCATTTCAATCCTAAGGCAAACTTATCCCAGAACTTTTTCGGCAATACTTCTTTAAAGGTTTGCCACTGCCTTCCTCTTATTTATTTTATTTATTTACAGTATTTCTATTCCGCGCTTCTTACCCCACAAGGGACTCAGGGTGGATTACAATGTACATATACATGGCAAGTATTCAATGCCATAGACACACAACATATATAGACAAACACAGAGGCAATTTAACATTCCAGCTTTTCTTGAGGGTATTTTGGCCACCAGGGGAGCTGTCCCTTCACCGAACATTTGTGACACTGATGAAGTACTTCCTCATTCTTTGCATGTTTGCTGGAGATTTTTATGGCCTCGTAAATTAGTTAAAATTTGCCTCGCTGCATAAGCGGTACCTAAATTTCCTACTTGACAGATGCAACTGTCTTTCGGGCTGCAAAGGTCGACAGCAAGCCACACAAATTGGTTGGATGCTCACTGTACTGTCGCCACTGGTCCTGTATCTGGTTGGCTTTAAAATAGGATGTGTAACCTTTGCCCAGAGGGAAGCCAGGGGGCCCAAGGAAAAGTTCTCAGGGGTTTCCTCTACAAGAGAATCTTCAGATGGCTGAGAAATACAACAAAGTCCTTTATTAATGAAATCAAACAGGAACTTCAAGGCTTTCTTGATAAAATATTAGTTCTCTCAATCTTGTCCACAGGGGACAGGCACTATCTTCAATAACTTTTCTTTAAAGGAAAATTCCCCTTTTTAACTTCTCCCAGGCTGACTAAAATCCAACCCTCACTGATGCGTGCTCCGCTACCGGGCCGAACTGCTTCTCGGACGCCGAGTGGACCTACCAGCAAGGCAGTGGATGTTCTCCAGCTGGAGTTCTTCAGTCTTTAAGGCTGTTTTCCTGGAGTTATTAAAGCTGTTCTCCCCTTGATTGCTTAAGGCTGTGGGAATGCTTCCCTGGTGTTCTTTCTCTGGAGATTCTTAAGGGTTGAAGACTTTGTACAGGGCAAGTTACACACATCCTATTCATTGGCTAACCTGGCTGAGACTAACTGAAAAAATGGCTCCCTTCCTTCCAAAGCCCAAAAAGGGGGCAGAACTAGGGAACCCAATGATAATTGACAGGTGGCTTGCCCTATGACTGCAGCCAAAAGAAGCCACCTATCTGCAGAGTCCCTGAAACTTAAGACTACAAACAAACATTCAATGCAAAGCAAACAAAATTGGAGCTCTTGGTACAGCTGTTCCAGAACACTCACTCTGACCCGGGCTGGCTTCGAACTCATGGCCTTTCGGTCAGTAGTGATCTTAATGCAGCTGACTCCCAGCCAGCTGCTCCACAGTTTCCTCTGAAAGGGTAAAACTTGCCAAAGATCACCTAGTGGGTTTCATGGCCACATGAGAAATTGAACTCTCATCTCCAGAGCCATATACAAAACTCAAACCACTACACCACACTGGCTCCAGTGTATATTGTATATTTTACATTCTCTGAGGTCTTTGAGGTTATTAGTAGCTCAAGCAGGTCATTTTCCACTTTCACACAATTTTTCTTAAATAACAGTCTTTCAATATTCTGTGGCTCAACTGTCCTAAAACTAGACTTAGCTGCTAAGAGTCTGCCATGACTCTGCTTCCTTTTGAACTAATTAATATTTTAAAGCCCCTTTTCCTAACCTTTCCTAGAACAGTGGACTTTATGATTAAGATCCATGGGGACAGAGGAAATGCCATCACCTACATCCAAATGCAAATGGTACACTCCTGTATGTACCCATGTAAATTAATTACTTTGCTTCCTGAGATTAGTAAAACTTAAATCTAGGCCAGCATACCTTTAATTTTTTTTTAAAAAAATGTTATATTAACTAAAATTAAAAGCTTTGATAGGAACAAAATTAACTGCCAAATTAATGGTTATTATTGGAAACCCATGAGGTTCTCGGCCTCCAAGCATGAATCATGGGACCCAATTCATTTATTTCTCTCCTCTAGTTCCCTATCTCCTTTAATTATCTTGACAGACATTTGGACGGTGCCTGGTCAGCTCTAGCTAGGGAAATATAAAGGAAGAGAATATGGCTCACTGGGAAGTCAAAGCAGAAGCATCCCAATACTGAGGGAAATGATGGTCTTTCAGACACTACCACCACCACCACTGTTCCAACATTGGAGGCTTCAATGGATGCTAAAGGGCCATGGCCAGCAGGAGTGCAAAACCATGGATGTTTACAGGATCTATAGTGAATCCTTATCTGGCATCCCTATTTTATTTTTTTATTTTTGCTTGGGAAAACACTCCTGTTAGTCTTTATAAAGCTGGAAGGGATGATGCACACTGGTTTTAACCAGGGTTTACACATTACTCAGTGCCTGCTCCATTGCAGTTATCATTTAACATAACTCTGAAGGAGATTAAAAAGCTCCACTGTCTTAGATGGATCTAAAGATATTCATTGATCAGATTGCACTTCCCCAATTGTGGTCCAAAGGCAAATATATACTGGGACGATTTTTAGCTTCCAAAGCTCAAGCAATACAAACTAAAGGAAATGATCAAGTTCAGTATAATACCTTTAAAAAGCAATTGAAAAATAATGGAAGGATTACAGAAAAAATAAATAAACCACATCACAGTTCCAAATAATCAGCCATATTTAGACAGTGCTGATCTCTTACTGTTATTCTCTGCTTGATTGAAATAAGCCAAGAATACTAATTTGATGCAAGAGCATTACCCATGCTGACCAAAAGGACAGCAGTTCAAATCTGGGGAATGGGGGGAGCTCCCATCTGTCAGCTCCAGCTTCTTATACGGGGACATGAAAGAAGCCTCCCACAGGATGGGGAGGCGTCCCCTGGGCAACGTCCTTGCAGACGGCTAATTCTCACACACCAAGTCACAAAAAAAAAATCTCCCATCTCTCTCTTACACGTTGGCTAAAGCAGAAAAGGGTTCAACTTGAGATCCATGCCACCATCTGGACAGGGCTAATGGGAATTATAGTTCAACTTTGGAGGGCCACAAGCTGCCCATTCACACACCAGAGATAAATCACTTCTTTGATTGTATCTACACTGTAGAACTAATGCAGTTGGATTCAACTTCCACTGCTACAGAATCATTTGTAGTTGGATGAGGCAACAGTACTCTTTGGCAGAGAAGGCTAAAGACCTTGCAAAACTACACCTCTCATGATTCCCCAGTATTGAATCATGACAATTAAAGCAGTTTCAAACTGCATTCATTCTACAGCATAGATGCACCCCTACATGATCAATCCTATTTATGGCTAGCAGCAGGCCAAGAATTTACTGTACTGGAGTGCTCCAATAGAGCATCTGGATTCTGAAATGCTGGACTTCTTGGATATTTGACTTTTAATGATTCATTAAAATCCATTAAGCAAACCAATTGAAAATGATATAAACCAACACTTCAGTTGAGAAACTGTCACCAACCAAACAAATGGTACTCTCACCATAAACAGATTGCAGTCTCAAAACTGCCCTGCCTCATTCTGAAGTACATGCCACATTATGTCCATGGTTAGATTTCAAAATGCATAAAGAATATCTGAATTATATTTACAAAATAGCTGCCACTACATTAAAATATTCTGAAATATAAAGAAGACATAAATTGATTCAGATTTGCTTAGGAAAACATTCCTAAAACATTAATTTCATTTCATTTGACCTGATTTAATTTGAAAAGGAACAGATGAAAATCTGGTAAACCCTGAGATTTAAAAAAAAATTCTTGCAGAAGGCCTTTGAATCTGAGAAATTTGTAGTATATATGATTTATACAATATGGAATAGTTCCTCCTTTAATTCCTAGAAAACAAAAATCCAAGGATATAAGGAGCTGTTCATCGGTTTGTGCAGCATCAGCGCAGAATAAGTCACTTTTCTCACAACAGAAGCACATGGCAGAGTTTCAGAAATGCAAAGCCTCTTCTGTGAGAGTTACAGTGGTCCAACCCACTGGATAGATCAGTTCAAAAGGCACATTCTTTCTTGAACTGGATTGCTTGCAACATATGAAGCTGCTGGTTACAGATAAGATTTCTCCTGTGAACCCCAGTGAGATGAAGAAAGCCAAGCTTTGGTTGAAGAGGGCTCTTCGGTCACTTCGGTGGCACAACCAATTCTGATAACTTCCAGTTTACAAAAAAGAAAAGAAAAGAAAAGCCAAACAACAACAAAAAAATGCTAGTAAGCATTATTCATTTAAGAAAGTCAATTGGCCTGGGATACCAAGGCCAGCCATAGGAGTGATGAAGAATTTCAGTGATAAACTCCAAGAAAATATGAGTTTGGGTCATTACGGAATGGAAATGGCATTCCTACCAGACAAAATATGGTTTCAAAATCCCCTTTGAAATGCTGGGTTGGCCAGACCATTTCCTCCTTATCCACCTCGAACAATGATCCATTTGAAATTTGCATTTGTATAAAAATCAATCATTGAGCAGCATGTCTGAGAGCTAGAATTGTATGTCACTCTTCATCTTATAATATACCCACCCAGGTTAAATTCAGGCCCAACAGTTTCCCTTGCAACCACGCTGATGGTAACAATATTTAGGTTGAAAGACTGAAAGTTATCAAGGTATATGATGGAAAAAAATGTTTTAAAAATTGGATTTTAGACAATTCGATTTTTGACTTCTCCATTCTCTAGTGTAGAAGAAAAATTGAGTTCTTGCTCTCCATGGGGTTTTTTCTTGGCTTCAAACTGATCCATTTCACGAGTTTCTAATGGAACTTTTTTCTTGGTAAATGCCTGGTTGATTTCAGCAAGCGTCTTGTTTTTTGTCTCGGGTAGGACGAAGAAAAGGTAAATGGCTCCAGCAACACAGACAGCAGCAAACACAAGGAAACAGTAGGACTGCAAACCTTCCTGAAAACACAAAGGAAACAAAAAATGTACCACATTATCCATCATAGAAACAGACCTCAATTTGAGACATAAAAACGTATTACAGGAATCTAGGACTTCTGCCCCTTTAGATGCACCTGGGTAGCAAGCTCCATCTGCTTTATTTGGCGTGGCCAATTGTAGTATTATCCTCTCTCTTGAGAATAAAGAGCCACAGCTAGAGATCAGGCCTTTGAATATATGTGTTGAAGCTGTGATACTAATAAATTAGATTAAATTAATTAAATCAAAATAAGATTAAGCCCTAATACACATTAACTATACTGTAGGTAAAGCATGTGCAAAAGTATTTATTTATTTATTTATTTATAGTATTATATTCCGCCCTTCTCACCCAAAGGGGACTCAGAGCAGATGACAAAACACATACACAAACATTCAATGCCATTATACACTGACAGAGCAGACAACTGTACATAGATAGAGGTACAGATAGGCTTTCCCATCTTCGGCATCTTGTAGGCTGTGCTTGGTTCCAGCCACTGGTGTGTGTGTGCTGTCGCTCCACTTCCCCTGCCAAAAAGCTTTGTTTGTAAACTTTCTCCTTGATCGAATCACTAGCATTTTTCTGACATTTCCTTATGGGTGCCTTAAGTATGTCCCCACTTAAGCAGTACCTATTTATCTACTCACATTGCTGTTTTTGAAACTGCTAGGTAGGCAGAAGCTGGGCTAAAGGCCAGGAGCTCACCCTAACCTGGGCTTCAAACTTCCAATTTTTCAGTTGGCAAGATTTACTCCAGTTGGCAGTGCTAAAACCTAGCCCTTTTCAAAATATTTCCCTGCACATTTGTGTTAGAGCAAACCACCCAAGGACCAACTTTATGAACTAAAGGGTTTTTAACAAGTGAGTTAAATTTTAAATTATACAGACAGTGATTAGCTTAGGAACCATTTCACACATTATGACAAGGGAAGTCCAAGTTCTCTTTTTGCTGGCTGTCTAGAAACATGGAAATTGTTTAATGCAAGCAAAATAAAAGTGGGCAAAGCGTGTCCTATATGCTGCTTATGCTCCCCTACATGTACTATGTGGAGAATATTTCCAACAAATTTAGAGCTCTACCACCACCGATCCCCCTGGAATCAAAAACAGCTTCTGCAAAAAATACAGCACTGTGTTGCCTTTAAATACTCCCAAATATCCACTGTGAGCATGGGGTGCATTTTAACCCTGGATGTTATCTTTTGTATTAACACTCTGTTCCTACTGTTAGGCAGTTTCTTACTGCTAATAACTGCTTAACGCTTTTCTTTCCAAACCAGGAAGAGGGTTGCCACTTGCATATCAGCCATATTAAACAATGAGAAATTTATTTATTTATTTATTTATTTATTTATTTATTTATACGCTTGTATACCGCTAATATCTCAGCCTAAGTCGGCGACTCATTGCGGTTTACAACAATTAAAAACAGTATTCAATTTAAAAACATAAAACACATATACAATACAAATTATTGGGCCACCAATAATAGTCCCATGCATCTCGTAACTAAAATCACAATCCAAAATTCGTCGTCCATGATTACCAGTCCTTTAGTCATCAACATTCGATTGCAACGGATTAACCGAATGCTTGTTTAAACAACCATGTTTTCAATCTCTTCCGAAACACCATCAGCGAGGAGGCTGATCGTACCTCTATAGGGAGGGTGTTCCAAAGCCGAGGGGCCACCACAGAAAAGGCCCTGTCTCTCGTTCCCGCCAGCCGCACTTGTGAAGCCGGCGGGATAGAGAGCAGGGACTCTCCAGAAGATCTTAGGGTCCTGGTGGGCTGATAGGCTGAGATACGTTCGGATAGATAAGTTGGGCCAGAACCGTTTAGGGCTTTAAATACCCTCCTTTGAAATACCCTCCTTTGAATTGTGCGGCATCCAGTATACTCAGCAGACTACAGAACAGAAGCCCTTGCTGGTATTCATGTTGAAATGTAATTATAATAGATTGAACCCATCTCACAGTTTGTTGGGGAAACAGCATTTCTCACAGCTTGTTCATGGTGACATTTCCTTTACCACATGTCAGGTGAGTAAGGATGTCTACTACTGAATTAGTGATCTCACTTTGCCAGGTAACCATGGAAGTCTGAAGCCTATTACAAACCAAATTTCCAAACATTTTCTTTAGAACTGACATCTCTGAGAATCTTAGCTTTTTATTCAGTTAGTTTCTTTGCTGCCCACACGTATCAGGGTCATACCAGTCTTTCCTCCAAGAATAGTGCTACCGTTATAAAATGAGTAACATGATTTACTCCCCTGGGCATATATACCTTTAAGGATACCAAGGAAATGTAACATTCACCATTTCCTGAGACCTGAGAGTCCCTGGAATGTGCTGTCAGGCTTCATTAAATCAGTTGTCATCCTAGCATAAACGGGAAGACTACGTATTTGTTTGCAAGAAGTACCACATTAGTGGAAACAAGGACATGGGGAAAAGGCTTTCTTATATTTCTCCTCCTCTTCTCAAGGACATGTTGAATACAACTTGGGTTAATATATTGAAAGGTCCTTGAATAAGAGGGAAGGATGGATTAAAAACAGAAGGGGGCAAGAAGATATAAAAGAAAGAAAATTGCGGGTATGTTTAAGGAAAACTTTCCACTTAGTTATCCCCCTAAATGGATTCAGTAAAGAGGTTCATTGCACTCTGTCCCAAATGATACTAGAATATTACACTAGACCAGGGGTCCTCAAACTATGGCCCGGGGACTGGATACGGCCCTCGAAGGTCATTTACCCGGCCCTTGCTCAGGGTCAACCTAAGTCCGAAACGACTTGAAAGCACACAACAACAAACAACAACAACAATCCTATCTCATCAGCCAAAAGCAGGTCCACACTTCCCATTGAAATACTAATAAGTTTATATTTGTTAAAATTGTTCTTCATTTTAATTATTGTATTGTTTAAGTATTTTTTGCACTACAAATAAGATAGGTGCAATGTGCATAGAAATTTATTCATGTTTTTTTTTTCAAATTATAATCCGGCCCTCCAACAGTTTGAGGGACTGTGATCTGGACCTCTGTTTAAAAAGTTTGAGGACCCCTGCACTAGACAGTCTCCTTTAAAAAATTATTTTCCCCTTCTTTCCCAAACTTAGCCATTCTGTTTCACAACTCCATTTATCTAACCTTTATTCCTTCTTTCTCCCTTCTACCTTTGTTTTCTCAAAGAAATCACACAAATGAGTCTGCGTAACCCAGTGGTTCTTAACCTGTGGGCCGCGGATCACAAGTGGGCCGCGAGGATGAAAATCTGGTCCGTGAGCCTCCTTCCTTTTTATTTTTTTAATTTTATTTATTTTATTTGCACTCCTTTTGCGCTGCCTGCCACTCCTTCCCTGTCGCTGACCATGGCATATATTCTGTATCAAAAACTAGAGCTGATGTGATCTATCCAATGCAATTTTCTGAATCAGCACCCCAAACTGAATCTAAAATTGACCCAAAACTGATTTGTAAATCTTTTGGTATTAATGTTGGAGAGTGGTCCCTGATCAAAATGGTCCCTGGTCAAGTGGTCCCTGTTAAAAAAAAAGGTTGGGAACCACTGGCATAACCAGAGAGACGTGTTAGCCATTTCCCCCCCATTCTACTTATTTTCCTGAGGCAGCAGGCTTTTGTGTTTTACTCTATGTGAAAAAGTGAGGTGCCCAGTTAATAATAGCAATCAGAATCATTAAAGCACATTTTAGATTTCAGTATTATTTTGGAAATCTAGAAAGCATAGTGAAATCACTAGAAAAATCGAGGAATCAATAACTTAATAAGTTAATTCTAACTTCTATATCCAATGTATAAAACTTGCCTTTTCATAGTGGAACTTGCTTCTGTTTAATAAACTTGAACACTTTAATTCACCTTATGTGGAAGTTCATTGTAATCTAAATGTTTACAGTTAAAATGCATAGGTGAGGGTTGTGTGCATATTTAGTTTCCTCTGTTTCCTGTTTCCTTCGGTACCTTCAATACTTTGGGAGCCTATAATAGTAAGGGCCCTCCCGGTACAAAAACTTGCCCAACACGAAAGCAAGCAGGAGCCGATCCTCCTCCCCTATTCGGCAGCTTTTTTCTTCTTCCTTTCCTCTCCTTCAGAAAATACTTCTAAAAGATTATTATTATTAATAGCAATCCCAGCAAACAAAAAGAGATGCCTACCTCTCCTCTAGAGTAGAAAGTAGAAACAGTTTTAAGGAAGTATTGAACTGAAGCAGAAAGGAGATTGCAGGCAAGTGAGGGGATTTTTAAGGTAGCCCGGGGGGGATAGCCTGATCATCGCTCTTCCTTCCCTGGACCTCCTTAAAATGTCTTGGAAAGCTGCTGGTGCTGGGAGAGAAGAAAGCGTGGCCTGCCTCTCCTCTAGAGTAGAACAGCTTTAGGAAGCAGTAAACCCAGTTTCCTCCTTTACAAACAGAAGGAGAAAGACAGAACTTAAGAGTGGTAATGCTAATGTTTTTTTAAATCCCGGTCTTAATGAAGGATATGAAAGGGGATCCTGTGGGAAGCCCCCCCCCCCCAATATTGGGCTGGATAGGGTGCTTTCTTAACCCATTGCTGACACCCAGGCTCCCTTGAAGGGAAGAAAGGAAAAGCTCCCAGGGGAAAGGAGAGCCTCATAAGTTTCCCATTGATGCCAATGTGCTGAAAATAACCGTTTTTTTAAATGTTGAACAAAAACACCAGTTCGGCAGGGTGCCCATTTTGGGTGGTGCTGGAAAACGGATATGGGGGGTTCTGGTATCCGGCAAGCAGAAATGGATAGCAATTCACCCAAAATGCACAAGCCTACTATCAATTAATACATATTATTTCATGTCATTGTGTGCCTTATTTTACCAATTTCTGTTTTCACTATTTTAGCATTCATATAGCTTATATGATTCAGAACTCGTACCTGAATGAAAGGGAAAACAAGTCCAACTATAAAGTTGGAGAGCCAGTTGATTATTCCAGCAATCATAAATGCAGCTGGCCTTTGCGACTGTTGGAAGAACTCCCCGGTGAGGACAAATGGGATCCCGCCTGCAAAAAAGGAGTCAGGAATTAATTTTGTAAAAAAAAAAAAAAATGCCTTTGTCATCAGAAAGACCACATCCCTTATTTTGGCTCACCACCTCTAATTTCTGTCACTAAAATATTTTAGGAAGAATTGGAACTCAAACTGTGAAAGCATCTTGCGTATATTTCACCATCAAAAGGGCATTCTGAATGACTAACAAAACATAAACCCATAAGATCAAAATTAATTAGGCAATTAAGTAAGACAATTAAAAAGCAAGGGAATAGCTCCAGAATTGTATGCATCTACGGAACACCCAAATCATGTTTCATCATGAATGAGGGCCAAAGTGAATAGCTCCAATTTAGCATCCTATCTACAGGTATAAAAATAAAGGCCAATTTTACCATTTTTCATGAGTCCCCCTTGATTTTAATGATAGCAATTCCTCTTCCTTGCCTTTTTAAAATTATTACTAATATGTGTGATAACAGTGCTCCTTGCAGAGGCTACTGGTTGATATTTCTCTCTCCTCTTAACCCAGAATAGCACTGTAGTACATCTGTGTGACTAGTACATCTAAGGCATCTGGGGGTCAACAATGGGTTAAGAAAGCACCCTATCCAGCCCAATATTGGGGGAGGGCAGTATTAATCTGGGGGTTGGGACTCCTGGGGGGGGGGGTCACAAGGGAAGGGTCACCATAGTCCATCAGAAAACACATATTTCTGATGATCTTAGAAATCCCTATGGCAGATGTGCTGGTACAGCTGTACCAGGAGCTCCTACTTCATTTTCTTTCTATTGAGTGTTTGTATGTATTCCAAGGTTCCATGCATTTTGCAATAAGGTGGTTTCCCTTGCTCTGCAATTATAGGGCCAATGACCCATCAATCATCATTATGTTCTTTAGTTCTGCCCTTTCCCCCAGGGCTCTGGGAGGGAAAAGAAAGACTTCAGGCAGTCTTTCAGTTTAGAAGCCCAGTTACAGGACGTGAGCTTTTCCCACCTGTAGAGAAGCTTCGTTTCTCACAACATCCGGGGGAAACAGCCCTAAAGCTTCTAAGGAAAACAGTTTACAGCACAACCCTTGTTGGGGTTAAAGATACAGATCCACATCATTCGTGGAGAAAATCCAAAAGGACTCCAGCTGGAAAATCTACAAAGCCTTGACTGGTAGATCTACTCGGGTAACCAGAAGCAATTGGAGCCAGGAGTAGGGCTCACACCAGCAAAGCCTAAAACAGATTGCCCAGGAGAGGTCAAAAAGGGTTTTCCTTGTTAAAGAAAGAAATAGTTCTCCAAGCAAGGAGCCCACCAGTTGATTCAAAGCCTTGAAGCATTTGTTTAATTTGTTGAAGATCTAAGAAGTATTTGATTGTTTGTTGAAGACTCAAGCAATAATAAAGGACTTTGTTAAACCTTTCAAGCTTCTAAAGACTTTTGTATAGGAAAATCCTTAGGGTCTCTCAGTCAAGGCACCCCGGCTTCCCGCTGGGCACAAAGAGCACATCCTGTTCAAAAGCCAACTGCTATAGGCCCAGCGTGTGACAGCACAGCAGAAAAGGCTGATCTCCACCTGTCCTTCTCTTCCTCTTTGGAAACAGAGGGTGAATCCTCCACCAAAAGCCCTCCTTCACTGTGATTGGCTGGCCTCTCAGTCAGCCTCTCATCCAAGAGGAAGTCTGTTTCTAAGATTTCAGGTGGGAAGGGGAGAGCAGGTGTGCTTGGCGCATGGCAGCATGGTGCGCAGTGCGGGTGAGGGAGAGCAAGTGAGGCTGGAGGGAGGCTTGTGCCAGCAAGTCCCTTCAAGACATGCGGGTTCTGTGTGTGAAGTTTGGCCCAATTCTATCATTGGTGCGATTCAGAATGCTCTTTGAGTATAGGTGAACTATAAATCCCAGCAACGACAACTCCTAAATGTCAAGGTCCATTTTCCCCAAACTTCACCAGTGTTCATATTTGGGCATACTGAGTATTTGTGCCAAGTTTGGTCCAGATCTATCATTGTTTGAGTCCACAGTGCTCTCTGGATGTAAGTCAACTACAACTCCAAAACTCAAGGTCAATGCCCACCAAACCCTTCCATTATTTTCTGTTGGTCATGGGAGTTCTGTGTGCCAAGTTTGGTTCAATTCCATCGTTGGTGGAGTTCAGAATGCTCTTTGATTGTAGGTTAACTGTAAATCCCAGCAACTACAACTCCCAAATGACAAAATCAATTTTTTTAGTGATGGTCACTCGTTGGCCTAGTAGGTGTCTTGTGTCCAAATTTGGTGTCAATTCGTCCAGTGGTTTTTGAGTTCTGTTAATCCCACAAACAAACATTACATTTTTATTTATATAGATGAGCTGTTTGTACTGCCATATTTCAACATCAAGGAAGAATAGATTACAAGAAGTTTCTTGAAGTAACCCCCAAATTTCAGAATAACTTTTCCTCCACTACAAATTTTGAACTCAAACTTCTGTTTTGCTCAGAGGTAAAGAGGAATTTAGCATATAATATCCTAGAATATGAGAAAATGTTTATAGCTATTCCTTTCTTTATGAATTTTACACCCACCTACAGCCACCCACCCTGCTACTTTAGTAGTATTTCTTTTCTGTTAAAAATCAAGCAGTGAGAGTTGCCACAGCAATTTCATGAGTTCCTGATATATCTTAAAACCTTTACAATGTAGATTATAAGGATAGGTGATATTAACTCATCACCTGCCAAACAACATCTTCCGTTTAATAAAATGATCCGGACGTGATCATTCAATCTTGGAAGCTCTATGCACGCATTACAGTGCAAACACATTCTTCTTTGATAATGATTAACAAAAGCAACACTTGAAAGCTATCCTGCAACTCTTATAAGTGTTAAAATACATTCATACATGCATCGGACACATCTGACAGGCTGACTATACTCAGCTGTACAGTCTTTTTCCTTACTGACCTAACTAAAATAGAGAAAACAAACCAATCCTTTGAGGAAAGAGAATCACACCAAAACTAATAAGAATCTTTGGTTGTAGCTTTAAGCCTAAACCTAAACCATCAAACCATAAAAATAGAAAATGCAAATAGAATATTTTTGAAATGTTTACTGTTCTGTTCATCTTTAAAAGCCATTAAGCGTAATTGTATATACATTAAAACAAAGAGCACTCATTCACTGAAACATCTTTATAAATAACAGAGATTTGAATATGCAACCAAAAATATTAATGTTTCATGGCTGGAATCACTCGGTTGCTGTGAGTTTTCCAGGCTCTATGGCCATGTTCCATAAGCATTCTCTCCTAACATTTTACCCACATCTATGGCAGGCATCCATATTAGCTGGTCCTGATTGTTTCCCTGTTTTCTGAGTGTTGTTCTTTATTTACTGTCCTGATTTTAGATGTTTTTTTAAAATACTGGTAGCCAAGTTTTGTTCATTTGCATTGTTTTCTCCTTTCTGTTGAAATTGTCCACATGCTTGTGGATTTCAATGTTTTCTCTGTGTAGTCTGACCTGGTGGTTGTGAGAGTGGTCCAGCATTTCTGTGTTCTCAAATAATATGCTGTGTCCAGGTTGGTTCATCAAGTAGTCTGCTATGGCTGACTTCTCTGGTTGAATTAGTCTGCAGTGCCTCCTAGACAGGAAACAATTAGGGCCAGCTAATACCTCCCAACAAAGGATTCCCCCCCAGGCAGGAAGCAGCCAAGCTTTAAAGTTGCAAGGCTATTCAATGCTAATCAAACTGGCCAATTGTAACATTTACACTTGCCTCAAACAGGCAAGAGTTCTTTCTCCCACCCTAGACATTCCACAGATATATAAACCCCACTTGCCTAGTTTCCAACAGCCCTTGCAACCTCTGAGGATTTTTCTCTTCGTGTCAGGAGCGACTTGAGAAACTGTGTTGCTTCTGGTGTGAGAGAATTGGCTGTCCTCAAGGACGTTGCCCAGGGGATGCCAGGATGTTTGACCATCTTATAGGAAGCTTCCCTCGTGTCCATGCAATGGGGAGCTGGAGCTGATAGAGGGAGCTCCTTCGTGCTCTCCCTGGATTCAAACCTGCGACCTGTCGGTCTTCAGTCCTGCCAGAGCAAAGGTTTAACCCATTCTGCCATCAGGGGCTCCACCAAGGATGCCTGCCATAGATGTGAGTCAAATGCCAGGAGACTCTGCTATTGGAACATGACCATACAGCCTGGAATACTCACAGCAACCCAAAAATATAAATGTTTTTGCTCATGGAAATAACTCAGTATCCATATGATCCATTTAGTTCACAGACAAGAATGGTAACATTTTTGATGTAACAAATGTACAGCAAAAACCATCATTTTCAAAACATTTATTTTGAAGAATATTTTGCTTAATGAATAAGCACAAAGTCTTGACACAAATTTATTAATAAGGACAACCCCCCCCCCCCAACAATTTGAGAATTACCAGAAATATTCTAGGGCTTCAATCAACCATGTGCATAAGATATCTAAATAAAATAAAATACCAACTGATATCTAGTGCAACAATTTCTTTAATATATAATATATATTTGTGTGTGATTTATTTATAGGTGATTCAAAGTCATGCTGGACCAAATACCCTCTAAAGGCATTATATTCCCTCTGATCTTGGCAGCCATGCGGGGTCAGTCCTGGTTAGTACTAGAATGGGAGACCACCAGTTGGTGTGGGCTATATTTCAGAAGGAAAAAAAATGGGCAAAACCATCTCTGATAGAAGTGTGCAATTTGGCCAAAAGTCATGCTGTTTCAGGGTCCATTGTCAGCTGAACCCTCATTCTGTTTACTGGGAAGTTACTCAAATTGGGAGGGGTGTTGCTGTTTTCATTCAGCAAAGATTCAGTCCATTGGCAACAATGGGAAACTTTAAAGGCTCAATCCTCAGTCATTTTAAGGCCTATGTGCATGAAACCTACCTTGGTTTTAGACCCCGTTCATATCTGCTGGCCTGCTAAGTTTCAAAGCAATTCACTTATCTACTGATTTTTAAAGTATTTTAAGTTTTAACTATAACATTTTTTTAAAAATAAGACAAACTGCAAGAGAGGGTTTTGGGAATTGTAGTCACCAGTTGTTTCCAGTCTCAGCCAATCAGAGCATGGACACAACCAGGCCTTTTATTAGCTAAAAGAGAATGAGAGAGAAAACCTTCAACTCCCATCATGTTCTGATAGGAACTTAGAGACTTTTCAATGCTCGTTCCATGCAAGTGCTGCTGGGAAAGTGAGTTCCCAGCAAGGCCCTCTCTGGAGGAGGAGCCTAGGGAACTTCCCAAAGGAAAAGAGATGGATGCTGCTTCTGCCGGGGAGGGAGAAAAGACGCTGCAATTATCCCATCTTCTCCAGGAGTCGCGCAGCACATCCCTACCTCAGGAATATTGCAGACTTAACTTCTTCCTCTCCAAGACCCAATAAAATGTGGCTCTCTTAATCCATTTTGCTGAGTTTTTCGGCTACCTCCTCCACATTTTGTTTTTGGAGATTATATGAAACCGACCACCAAATATTACAAATCATTTTCATTCAAACTGATTTGTGCCCAAGCCTAATCTCTAATAGATGATTACCTAAGAAAATCCTATGAAACACATGCGGTCACCATAAATTGACAGGAGACTTGAACCCACACAGAGAGAAAGTTCAAAGTTCCAGACATACACAAAAGCATAGCACCAAAAAGACATAAACAGGAGTCATAAGAGAAATGTCTCATGATGACCTCCCAGTTTCTCTATCAGTTGCCTGTGGGTTGGTGGGTGACATTACTCTCCGAGAACAAAAATTCTCACTATATATAATTTCTAAAATACCACAAGCTAAGCTTGACCTTTGGACAGACTGTTTGATGGGAACAGAACCAGAGGGGCTCATCTTTTTTTGGAACGTCAGCTTGGCAGAAGTGAGGCAAGGTCTTGCTATTAGGACAGATTTAGTAAGTGCTGGATTACATAAAGAAACACATTACAGAAGAGCAGTCGCAGTAGATTGTAACAGCCATGGGCAAATCCAAATGCGGTGACTATCACTCTAGTTCAGTGGTTCTCAGCCTGTGGGTCCCCAGGCATTTTCCCCTACAATTCCCAGAAATCCCAGCCAGTTTATCAGCTGTTAGGATTTCTAGGAGTTGAAGGCCAAAACATCTGGGGACCCTCAGGTTGAGAACCACTGCTCTAGTTGTACCTGAAACCTCATGGCTACTCCTGCCTTTAAAATCTCTGGTTGGAATCCTGTCCGGGTCATATGTCTACATAAGTGTAAGCAAAACTTAGAACTGAGCAATTTCATAAGATTTATCTTGAGTAAGTTACATTGCAGAGCCAGCAAACTGTATAATGCACACAAGTGTACATTGTGCACTGATGCACACTGACACATCAATGTGAAACATATATTGATGCACTTCATACATTGTACACTGCACACTAATGCTCACTGGCCCTGAAATGCATTGTTATTCTAGCCAGTGTCCGGAAGTACATCTTTGCAATTCATGATCTAGGTTTCTCAGCACTTGTGCTACTTAGCTTAGTGTTTGTTGTGATGGCAACCAACCATTTGTAGATTGAGTCCCTGGGGGCGGTGGGGAGGGGGAGGTAGGGTGTAAAGAAAGTATTGTAGAAGGCTTTCATGGCTGGAATCACTGGGTTGCTGTGCGTTTTCAGGCTGTATGGCCATGTTCCATCTGGATTCTCTCCCAAAGTTTGGCCTGCATCTGTGGCTGGCATCTTCAGAGGTTCTCTGAAGATGGAACCTCTGAAGATGCCAGCCACAAATATAGGCAAAACGTTAGGAGAGAATCCTGCTGAAACATGGCTATACGGTCTGAAAAACTCATAGCAACCCATAAATAAAGTAAATAATAATAAATAATACTGGCAGAGACTGTGTGTTCCCACTCCTCACAAAGACTTGAGAAAATGACTGAACTTCCATGGTCCCTTTGTTTTCTTTCTTTCATCGAAGGACCCCCTAATGTTCTGAATAGCCCCAAGAAGCATGAATAATGATGTATGATTACCCTATGTCATTCAGGGTCACCAAGAGTAGTTTTTTGGTGACCCCCTGCAAAAAGGGGGTGGGTGAGAAGGTTGAAAATGTACTCAACCAACACAATTGAAAGAATGCTAAAAGACTGGAGACCACATGTCATAAGAACAATGGAAACCTGTATAAAAATGAATATGAATTGATTTAGTAGATACAAAATTTCAAAACCAGACGGATCATTTGCAGCTCCGGAAAATAAATATCTGTGATATTTATGTGGATTAGCCCTCAAAGACTATATTTCGCAAAGAAAGCACCCAATTCATGCAGAATTAACAAATTAGCTGTGCAAGAGAACTACTCTGATTATATATTTTTTACTCCATTCTCTACAGAATGTAGAAATCATTAACTCCAGTGGATTTTGTGCAAAAGCACAAATGGAGAAGAAAAATAGATGTGTTCAAGATCTACCGAAATCGAGGAAACTAAAGTGTGTCTGACTTTGGCTAGATCTACACTGCCCTATATCCCAGGATCTGATCCAGATTATCTGCCTAGAACTGGATTATATGAGTCTACACTGCCAGATAATCTGGGATAAGAAGATAATCTGGGATCAGATCCTAGGATATAGAGCAGTATAGATCCAGCCTTTGAGCTGGTCTCCGGCTAAAGATGCAAGGGAGGAAAAAATCAATGTTCCATAATGAGCATGATTTTTTTTTAAAAAAAACCTTTTCCTTTTGTTATACAGCTATACAGAAATATATTTACCAACACTGATTTACTCACTTAAGAAACACATTCTTGGGAAAAATAATTACCTGGTCCAATGCAAAATGATGCAATTATTGCAAGAATGCAGACTATGCTGAGGTATCGAAGCCAAACAGCCTGATCCTAAAAAATAAAATAAAAATGGCATTATTGACAGTATTAATTTGGAATGTGCATACTATATACTGCTTATAGTAAATGCAAACATCAGCACCAGTTTCAAGCAGTCTATAATCATTAGTTGCAAAAAGGACAGATGGGTGCATATAAAAAGATGAACCTCGTGGCTATAATGATGTCTCATTCACCGTAGTGAAGGGATATGATTTTTTAGGACATTAGCTGTGCTAGTGCAGATATATATATATATATATATATATATATATATATATATATATATATATGCATGTATGTTCAGGACGGTGTGTGTGTACTCACTAATGCATTTAGACAATGTCAATAATAATATTATTTGCTAGCTAATAAACTCAATCTATATCATAAGGCTTTACAGCTTGAACCCACAACTTCCTCTGTAAAAAAAGCTGTAAAAATCTGCTTATATAGATTATGACATCAGACATCTGTACAAGGAAGTCTGTCAACAGATTGTCAACAGTGGGCCTCTGGATTCCCTGCCCCACTGAGAAAGCTTTCTGGTTGAAGGAATTGCCAATCCAGTCTTCACTACATTGCTATACCTTCCATAACAGTGGCCAAAGCTACAATTAGTGTGATTTTGGTACTTGGTGACTTGGGAAAACATCTGTAGTCTAGTTTGACCTCTGTAATTTGTCTCCAGACTTTATTCTTCAAATTAAGCAACTCATTGGAGGAAGACATACTTTGCCTCCAACAGTTTACCTCTTCACCAGACTGTCTTTTGCAGTTTTTTCTGCAAAACACTTTGTCTTTGACCAGGTCTTCTACATCTGGCCTCATAATTATTGTGGCATTGTACTGAAACCCATCCACAGTCTGTTCAGATCATCTTTAGCCCTAAAAATCATTATATTATATCAGAATTTACTTTACAGTAAATATGAATTGGGAATAAATACAAATCCTTCATTTCATTATATATATGTGGAGGAAGAATAATACAATTTCCCATTCAAAATCATATCCACTTTTGTTGAAGTAAACCCTTTCCCTTCTTTCCTACTGAATATTTGTTCAGTTTACAGAAGGGGCTATATTAATATGTTGCTCTGGTTGGTTAGGCTGTAATCCACAAATACTTATGATAAATGAATCTTGTTACCTAATAATAATAATAATAATAATAATAATAATAATAATAATAAATAATATACTTTATTTATATTCTGCCCTTCTTTCCTAGGGGATTCAGAGCAGATTACAGTATTTACATACATAGGCAAACATTCAATGCCGTTACCATGGTATACAATGAGACACACAAACACAAACAAAGGCAGAGGCTTCTCCTTTCATTTCCAGTTTCTGGAGGCGGTGGTCATCTCTGGCTCTAGGGAGGTGCTTTCCTCCATTTTCAAGTCAAGGAGCCTGCATTGTCACCTCTTAGTCGTGTGGCCAGTAAGACTGCTCGGAGCTTCTCTTTGCCTTTTCCCACCAAAGTGGTACCTATTTATCTACTCACATTACTTGTTTTTGAACTGATAGGTTGGCATGAACTGGAGCCGACAGACAGGAGCTCATCCCGTCTCGCGGATCGAACTGCCGACCTTCAGGTCAACAGTTCAGCAGCACAATGGTTTAACCCATCACACCACTACAGATCCTTACTACATGACTCCTTGTTAATGTGGCAGAATTTCTAATTCTTTGTCCTGGAACAGCTCCATTTGAATCAACTACCAATTCAAAACTTACTTCAGAATTTCACAATCTGTAGTGCAACGTTTCTGGCAAAAATGTTTAAATTGGCAAATAGTAAAATGTTCTGCAGTAGTGGGAGAGATCTTTCAAAGAAGTCAGAAATTACATCCGGGCAAAAGTTTTAAGTAATTAATGAAGCACATAACGTGCATTTATCAGATCATTGCTGAGATAATAATAATAATAATAATAATAATAATAATAATAATAATAATTTATTTATATTCCACTCTATCTCCCCGAAGGGACTCAGGGCAGATTCCAAACATAAAAGGCAAGCATTCAATGCCTGACTACAACAACAATACATCCATACTAACAAAATTTAAACAATCCAACATATAAACACGAATTATAACTGAGCAACTAAAATTATATTAAAAACACAGTCTGTTATAATAGACATAAGACAAAGACATAAGATCTTGCATCAGAGGCATAGCTATGATATAAAAGCTATTCTCCTAACTGAGAATACCCATGTTAAAAGCCAATCGGCTGTTCCATGAAACAGAGTGCTATTGGTCTTGGGGCATTTGAATTCACAGCAAGGGTGACACCATTGTAAATGTGACTCCAGAGCAGTTGCAAGGTCATATGTTAGCATGGTAACTACCTAACAGGATGCTAGCACCCACCTTAATTCCTTAGCCTTGCTGGTTTCAAAGGGCTACGAACAACATTGGAAACTGGTGTAGATAGTACTAGGGCTACTTGGAAACATGATTTGGATCCAAAATAAGCCAACTTATTATATCCAAATTTGGATTGATGAGTCAGTTATACTCAGGTCTGCTCATGACTCAACATAACTCTTGCTTCCACTCTAGTGATCATGGGAATACATTTTAACCTTTGTGTGAGGAATGGAGATCATGACTTTGCCTGGAGAAATACAATGTGCTGAACGTTCACCCAGGCAGGCTCTTCTAACCTGTCAGAATTTGAGCTTTCATCCATTTGAGAAAAGCCTTCCAGAACAAAAGGAAGTGTACAATAATGTATATGAACAGAAGATAACCAAGGTAGACATTAAACTGACTTTCCTTTTGCTCTGTCATCTGTTTCCGGAATTGTATTTACCATTGAAAAACAACAACTCAGAAAACAAATGTCAGTTCTGAATCAGAACGTCAAGCTCTTGGCCCGAAAGAAATAATTAGGCCTCACTTTTTGAAATGGAATACGTAAAGTTATATTCAGAAAAACAAACAGGACTGGGAGAGTTGGTTCCTTTAAAGTATTACTTCATTAAAATGATATTAGGTTTTTAAAAAAGGGATATTTAGCAATAGAACTATGTTTCAGACATGCACATTCAAGTTCAAAACATAGAATTTGGGTTGGTGAAAAAAAATACAGTATCATATTGGTCTTGGGAATCATAAATGAATGACCAAAAATATTACAAATTAAAAATGATTGCTATTTTGACAAGTTTGTACAGTGGTAGTACATCGGGTTAAACTGCCAGCTGCAGAAAATCTTGCTGACCAGAAGGTTGGCAGTTCAAGCTGTGGGTCAGGGTGAGCTTCTGCCATCAGTCCTAGCTTCTGCCCACCTAGCAGTTTGAAAACAGTAATGTGGATAGATCAATAGGTACCACTTTGGTGGGGAGGCAAAAGGCAGACATGCAGACATGTTGACAATTCGATCAGGAGGACGTCCATGAAAAACAGGCATGGAAAATGGAACAACAGCATCTCCTCATGGCCAGAGTGAGCACAGCCTCCAGATGCCAGAGATGAATAGGGGGAAGCCTTTACCTCTTCTATATACTGTCTGTCTTTGTTATTGACTGTATAACAACATTGAATGTTTGCCATATATGTATTCTGTAATCTGCAATAGTAGATTCCCAGATTAGTTTAGTGTTTATACCTTATTTTATTTTTTCTGGTGATTTAATATTTAATGTTTATTTTACTTAAGAGATATTTGTCTTTACTGTTCTAATGTTGCACAAATCCTATGTAAAATCATACTACATATTTTTGACATTAATATTGAAACCTGAAATATATACAGAAGGTCTTTACAGAAAGTCCCCTCAGGGCGATAGAGCAGAATATAAATAAAGTATATTTATATCTAAATAATGAGATGCTGTGGCACAGGGTTTATTGTGTTTCTTGGTTATTTAATGACCAGAATACTTTATCCCCTAACTGTTTTAGCAATAAGCTTCAAAAAACAATGTCAAGGAGAAGTAGTATGTTGTTTCCTGTCTAATAAACAAAAAGAGAAATAAAAACTGGCCAGTGGAAATTGTTTATAGTTAGCCCATGAATATAAATGTGTAGTCACATGTTAAAGTTCATACCTTAGTAGAGAGTACGAAAAAGGAGTGGTCTCATATTTCAAAGAAAACAGAGCAGAAAATTCTTGCATACCTGTAGAGTCATGCACACAGTAAGTATTATGAAGAAGAGAACCATCAAGCTAAATCCGCCAATCAGAAGAGGTCTGCGTCCAACCCGTTCTATCACCAAACCCTGAAGAAGAAGAAAAAAAATACGCTGTAGCCTATTTTCTCACAAAACAAGAGCAGTTCTGGATTTCTCATGTCAATTCTTGTAACTCTTAGTGGATTGATGCAAAGGCAAAGCGAGGGTGTGCGCACTGTTAATGATCTTCAGAGACTTCTAAGATTGAGTCACACCATCTTTTCCTACAAAACAAATGACAAGAACTCCCAAGTGGAGAATGCATAACAAAGACTTCATAAGGTGAATTGTCAACATTCTTTCTTAACAATAAATGATTTGACACACAAAATCACATGGTGTATGATCAAGCTGTAAAGTTTCCTGAAATTGCTCCACCAAAATGCGCAAACAGATTCTGCCCATTCTTTAGAAAAAGAAAACCAACTGTAGTAAAAATCATACAAGGAACTCACACCACTTAACAGTGCACTGACAAGAGACTCTAAATGTCCCATGCAGTAAAAAGTATTAGTTACAAATGCCCTTTCAACTGCAGTAATTTAGGCATATGGACTTTATATGGGAATGAAACTACGATATTGTTTTATGTCTACTAAAATAACATTTTTGAAATAATAATAATTTACTTTATTTGTATCCCGGCTTTCTCCCTGAGGGGACTCAAGGTAGCTAATAGCCACACATTGTAATCAGTTTAAAACAAACCAAAGGGGGAAAAAAACATTAACAGTAATATAATAATAATAATAATAATAATAATAATAACTTTATTCTTGTATCTTGCCACCATCTTCCCGAAGGGACTCAGGGCGGCTTACACATGGCACAAGGTGCCTAAAAACAGTCCATAAAATAAGACACAATGTAAAATACAATAGAATAAAACATAAAAGCATATAAATCAATTAAAACTTTATTACAGTCCATGACCAGCACAAAGTGTATATACAAATCCAAATCACAATATTGGGACCCAGTCCTGTACATTCACATCAAACCCAAAGCGTTATAGACTTCAAACTCCAACAAATTTTGAAATCTAAGCTAAAAACCAATGCAAGAAGTTATTAAAACTTAACTCAACCAACGAGATCATCCGACGCAGTCTAAAGAGAGATAGTGAGGATGCCACCGGGAAGGGGGGGGGGATATCCAACCCTATAAATATTAGTCTATATTTGATTTCCCATCTATATTCCAGGAGAAGCTTAGGTTTTTTAACCCTCAATCATTGTCCACCAAATTTTAATTGCAGCCGTGCAGAACTTAGCGACATTGTACGTCACAGCCGAGTTTGTGTCTGAGAGCAGCAGAGATCCGTCATAAAAGCATATTAAAAAAACAACTTAAGACTCAATAAAATGGCACTCAATAACCAATGGCAATAAGCTACTGTAAGTGTGGCCAAGTTGTAAACAACAGGACAAGGGAATGGGACAAGTGCAAAGTTGTAACCATGAAACAAGGACATGGGATGAAGTGCAATGCTGCTTAACTATTGCGTAAAACAACTAGGGACTAGGTGTTCTCAAAAGCTTATTTGAACATCCAGGTTTTCAGGTCCCTATGGAAGGAGGACAGTTTGGGGGCTTGCCTAATCTCTCTGGGGAGGGTGTTCCAGAGCTGGGGGGGGGGCACCACCGAGAAGGCCCTCTCCTCGTCCCCACTAACCATACTTGTGATGGTGGTGGGACCGAGAGGAGGGCCTCCCTGGCAGATCTTAGTGCCCGTGCAAGCTCATAGGGGGAGATGCGATCATGAAAATAGGCAGGACTCAAACCATTTAGGGCTTTATAGGTATTTACCTGCACTTTGAATTGGGACCAGAAACTTATCAGCAGGCAATGGAACTGCTTCAATAGGGGCATTGTGTGTACTGTATGTGTTCGATGAAAAATAGTTAAAATACAATAAATACAATAAAAATGCATTTTAAAACCCCTCCCAGATTCTATCCACAACCTCCCCAACAATGTATATTAATAAAATCATAGTAAAGGTAAAGGTTTTCCCCTGACATTAAGTCCAGTCATGTCCAACTCTGGAGGATGGTGATAATCTCAATTTCTAAGCTGAAGAGCCAGCATTGTCTATAGACACCTCCATGTGGCCAGCATGACTTCGTGGGGCGCTGTTACCTTCCCCAGAGTGGTACCTATGATCTACTCACATCTGCATGTTTTCAAACTGATAGTTTGGCAGAAGCTGGGGCTAACAGCGGGAGCTCATGCCGCTCCCCAGATTCAAACCTGAGACCTTTTGGTCAGCATGTTCAGTAGCTCAGTGCTTTAAGCCACTGCACCACTGGAGGCTTCTAATAGAATCATATATTTATAGAATTAATTATAATGTATTAAAAGAATATCAGGGTGAATATGTACATTTACAGATATTAACACTTATGAATGCACATCACTTGATTATTCATGACAACTGATCACTTCTAAGTGAACATGTAAATCTCCCTCATGAAATGCATTGTGCTTGAGTAATTTCCCCAAATTTCTGCCAGTAAGTCAATATTAGTATCTCTGCAAATATGTACTGTTATTTCTACTTATGGTGTGATAAAATCACTATCAACCTAAGCTGAATATATAAAGACATGAACCTGCTTATACTGTGCCCAACTATTCATTTTTCTAACCCACTCCTGCCTCCAAGGCTTTAGGCTCAGCTCTTTCCCAACTCTGATGCCTGAATGTCTTTTCAATTTGTTACATTCAGAACCATGACCTTCTGGAAAGCCTACAGGAAAACAGAACATGCTGGAGAGGAACTTGTTTATAATGAGCCCAAATGCACATACATTGAGACCACAGGGAGCTCTCAAACATCAGTTTTATTATCATGAAGGAAATGAACAATCCAGTACTCTGGGCCAGTTATGCAGGCTTGAAAAGAGTAGATGTCGATAGAGATATCTTAAAAGGCCAGAGCATTTAAAAATATTGCAATATCATGGGTTCTAAGCTGGTGCGTCATCAGGGCTACACTGGCATTACACTAAGGCCAGTACAACTGAATAGGACGGAGGTGAGCATCTAAACAGAAACACAAACATTCGTACATTGTGATCTGTTTAGAATTTGGCCAAGGAGAGCGTACATTGTGTACTGCTAAACACACAACAGTCTTTCGTCTCTGTCATCCCAAGGTACCTTCTAACAAATATAGATAAAAGGATGTTTCCCACAGTCTTGAAATGAATTCAGCTTCCTTTTCCTGTTTCTATATTAGCAGAGGCGGCTCGTCCATTACGCGAAGTAAGCGGTCGCAGAACACTTTTTTTTTGCCAGGGGCACAGAGGCGCCTCTGTAAATGCCCCTCGACTGCCACTTGAGGAGCGCCCCCTCAGCTCACAACAGCCCTAGCAGTCCCAGGAGAGCCTCGGCTTTCTTGCCTCGCTGCCGAGCAATCCTCTTCCCAAAGGGGCCAGGCCCTTGAGCCTCGCCTAGCCCCTCTCATTCATGCTCCACCCGGCCACTGGGTGCGTGTGCAGAGCTGGCACTCAATCGTTCGATCCCTTCCCCATGACCGGCTCCCTTTCCCGATCCCCCGGCTCTCCACCTGCCTCCTCTCCTCTCCTCTTCTCTCCCCAATCTGCGGGTGGGCCAAGGGGTGGAGCCGCCGTGCATGGCCCGCTTCGGGTCCGGAGGCATGTCTGAAGACTCCAGCATGTGTGCCTCTTCTCCTGACTTTCTCTTCAGCCATTGGGACCAAGAGAGAGAGAGAGAGAGAGAGAGAGAGAGAGCCCCTCCGGCTGGAGGTATCTCCCACCTCCGCTCCCTCCTTTGTTTTTGCGCCTACCTTCAGGAAAGGTGGGCATCTCCACCTCTGTCTCTCTGTCTCTCTCTCTCGGTCCCAATGGCTAAGGAGAAAGTCAGGAGAAGAGGTGACTTTTGGTGCACACGCCGGGTCTTCAGGCACGCCTCCGGACCCAAAGCGGGCCAGGTAAGGGAGCAAATGCGGCAAGTGTAGTTACTGGGATGTATAGTTCACCTACAATCAAAGAGCATTCTGAACTCCACCAATGATGGAATTGAACCAAATATGGCACACAGAACTCCCACGACAAACAGAAAATATATATCAATGATTGGTTGGGGTGTGTGTGTGTGTGTGTGTGTGTGCCAAAATACTGTTTGCTTACCGTTGAAAATTACCTAGGGCTGCCTCTGTATATTAGACTATCAGCATGCTGAAGGGAGCCATTTCCAATGAAGGCACAATTGTAACAAATGGTCCCTTTCCCCTCCATGACACTAAAATATGATCATTCAAGAGAGTTATAATTCCTTCAGTGGGTCTTCTTTTGGATGCTCTATTTGAGTGTTGGTCATCCCTTCTCTCTTTTCCCTTTCCACTTTCAGTATCGTTCCCTTTGTCCAAAATCGTTTCCTCCATCACGATTAATTATCATTGTTGTTTTCAAACGTTGAAATCTTTAGATATCATCTGGGCTGGAATAAGCTGTAATTATTGATCTCAACAGGTGGGAATAAGAATAAGACAGAAATCTCTCAAAATGTTTGGTTTGAACTTGATGGATCTGTAGGGGTTCAGTCTGTGATTGTCTTTTTCTTCTGTCAGAAGAAAAAAAATCTGCTTTGCGTAACAGCTTTACGTAAATTTAACAAGTTTATCCAAGGAGTTTGGTGTCAGGTGACAAAGGTCTGAAGCAGTTCAGCTTTTTAATTCAGTGGGGCAGGTTTTTTTTTTATTACAACCACCTTGATCAATATAATACTTGTAGCTTCTGCCAACCTAGCAGTTCGAAAACATGCAAATGTGAGTACATCAATAGGTACCGCTCCAGCGGGAAGGTAACGGCGCTCCATGCAGTCATGCCAGCCACATGACCTTGGAGGTGTCTATGGACAATGCTGGCTCTTCGGCTTAGAAATGGAGATTAGCACCACACCCCAGAGTCAGACATGACTGGACTTAATGTCAGGGGACTACCTTTACCTTTTAACCAATAAATTGTAGGATAAGTCAAGCATTCTAGCAAAGCAAATCCTGAAATTGATTCCACTGGTTGTATAATTTGTTCATTCTTTCCAGGCAGAAAATTCTGCATCTTTGTTATCTTTGCTGTCATACAAGGCTCTGTCAGAAAGCATGTTCCCATAGTAGCAAAGCACAAAATGGAATATAAGGTCGTGAACAGAATAGCAAGACATAATGCTGTTATGTTTGAATTTTTAATAGATACATAGTTGAACATATTACAGGAAGAGAAGGTAGATTACTACCATTTTCTTCATCATCATTTTCATTAACTCATATAGGTCACTAAATGTTTATCCTAAACTCAATATATGCACCCTTAAATATGAAAAGGTGCTTCTCATAGGACTTCATCACACTGAGGTCCTCAAGCTGTGGAAAAGTGGGAGCAGCAGGGCAAATCCAGGGGCACCAGGGAAAGCCAGCACCCCACAGCCCACAATGCCCCCTTTCTCAATCCACTGTGGAAACCATCACTGCCCAACTTCACCCCGTTCTCTCCCTAGCTTACGTTATGATGCTTCCAGGATGGAGCCCCACCAAAAGTAGCCCTGCGTCATATGATGGGCTCTGTTGGGCTCCATCCTGGCTCCATCAAGGAAGTGTCCTAGGATGGAGCCCAGACCTTGTATGATGAGGTGCATAATGCCATGGTGTCCCGATATTACTTCCCTTCTATTTCACTTGCATCTGTTATTTCTGTACCACAGGAGTGCATACTGAACCACTACAGTTATTTATTTATTTATTTACTATATTTATATCCTGCCCTTCTCAACCCCGAAAGGGACTCTGAGCAGCCTTATCACTGGTAGCAATCTAAATACCTGGGAGTCACTCTGGACTGTTCTCTGACCTACAAGAAGCACTGCCTGAACATCAAACAAAAAGTGGGTGCTAGAAACAATATCATACGAAAGCTGACTGGCACAACCTGGGGATCACAACCAGACACAGTGAAGACATCTGCCCTTGCGCTATGCTACTCTGCTGCTGAGTACGCATGCCCAGTGTGGAACACATCTCACCACGCTAAAACAGTGGATGTGGCTCTTAATGAGACATGCCGCATTATCACAAGGTGTCTGCACCCTACACCACTGGAGAAATTACACTGCTTAGCCGGTATTGCACCACCTGACATCCGCCAGGAAGTAGCAGCCAATAGTGAAAGGACCAAGGCAGAGACATCTCCAGCTCATCCCTTGTTGGGTATCAGCCAGCACGTCAACGACTTAAATCAAGAAATAGTTTTCTTAGATCTACAGAGACACTCGCTGGAACACCTCAGCAAGCGAGAGTCCAAAAGTGGCAGGCCCAAACCCAGCACCTCAACCCGTGGGTGATACCAGATGAGAGACTCCCCCCTGGGCACACAGAAGACTGGGCAACTTGGAAGGCGCTGAACAGACTGCGCTCTGGCACCACGAGATGCAGAGCCAATCTTAAGAAATGGGGCTACAAAGTGGAATCCACAACATGCGAATGTGGAGAAGAGCAAACCACTGACCACCTGCTGCAATGCAACCTGAGCCCTGCCACATGCACAATGGAGGAACTCCTTGCAGCAACACCAGAGGCACTCCAAGTGGCCAGATACTGGTCAAAGGACATTTAATCAGCTACTAAGTTTGCAAAATTTGTTTTTTTTTACCTGTTTGTTTTGTTCTGTTAGAAATGTAATACAATGTTCTGGTTGCAGATGACACGATAAATAAATAAAATAAATCGAATGCCATCAACAGACAGTAGGAACTAAACATGTACATTAAAATAAAAATTAAAAAACAATGTAAACATTAAAAACACATTGTAAAATCTTGTAATCTGAGGACATAGTCAAAGGCCATTCCAGTCATTATTGCACATAATTTCACTTCACTTATTAATTATGGGAAGGAATCCCACTGGAGCATTGCAGCCTACCAAAACATCTGGGAGTTACTCTGGAAGGTGTTCTGACTTATAAGAAGCACTGCTTGACTGTCAAGCAAAAAGTGGATGCTAGAAATAATATCATACGAAAGCTGATTGGCACTACCTGGTGACCACAACCAGATACAGTGAAGACATCTGCCCTTGCGCTTTGCTACTCTGCTCCTGAATATGCATGCTCAGTGTAGAATACATCTCATCACGTTAAAACAGTGGATGTGGCTCTTAATGAGGCATGCTGCATTAGCACAGGATGTCTACGCCCTACACCACTTGAGAAATTATACTGTTTAGCCAGTATTACACCAACTGACATCCGTCAAGAAGTAGCAGCCAGCAATGAAAGGACCAAGGCATTGACATCTCCGGCCCATCCTCTGTTTGGATATCAGCCAGCAAGTAAACACCTTAGAAATAGCTTCCTAAGATCTAGAGACACTTGCAGAAACACCTCAGCAAGCAAGAGTCCAAAAGTGGCAGGTGAAAACTCGGAACCTCAGTCAGTGGCTGATAGCAGATGAGAGACTGCCTCCTGGGTACACATAAGCCTGGGCGACGTGGAGGGCACTGAACAGGCTGCACTGTGGGATCATGAGATGCAGAGCTAACCTTAAGAAGTGAGGTTACAAAGTGGAGTCCATGACATGCAAGTGTGGAGAAGAGCAAACAACAGACCACCTATCACAATGTAACCTGAGCCCTGCCAGATGCACAATGGAGGCCAGCTTCTGGTCAAAGGACATTTAGCATAATGCCAAGTGTTTAACTTTGTTGGTGCTTTTAAATACATTATAACTGTACCCTCAATTCGCTTCTGACACGATAAATATAAATATGGGATGATCCTGAACTTCGACAATGCAAGACTATACATGAATTCCATATCACTAATGGGGCTGAAATGCATTTAACATTAACATTTTTAAGGGAACTAGTTGTTACTGATGAAAGCCAGCTCTTTTCTCTCTTGAAGTTTGCCATGTTTGGAATGCTATTTTTGTTTTTTCCATGGCTATCACCAGCTAAGATACAAAGGAGACAATTAAAGAACAAAGGATATAGAAGAAGATTCTGAGAATAATTAAGATAGTAACCAAGTCTGTAGTGGAAATACCTGATAGTCTTTCTCAGCCTCTCCTTCCTATGATTTCTCATGCTGAATTTCAGATGGCCGATTCTACGTTACAGGGAACCTTTCCTCCACACTCTGCCTTCTGTTAAGTGATGTGTACACAACAATGGTGTATAAACTCCATGGATTTAATTTCTTGATAATGGATGACTACTGCAGATTTGCAATTTTATCCTGCTTTTTAAATATCTTAACCTTTTACAATGTCCAGTAAAGCTTATACAATGTAGTTGTTCCCTTAGCGTATGGTCTAAGGCAGGGGTCCTCAAACTAAGGCCCGAGGGCTGGATACGGCCCTCCAAGGTCATTTACCTGGCCCTAGTTCAGGGTCAACCAAAGTCTGAAACAACTTGAAAGCACACAACAACAATAACAACAACAACAACAACAACAATCTTATCTAATCAGCCAAAAGCAGGCCCACACTTCCCATTAAAATAGTAATAAGTTTATATTGGTTAAAATTGTTCTTTTTTAATTACTGTATTGTTTTTAAGTATTTTTTGCACTACAAATAAGATACGTGCAGTGTGCATAGGAATTCATTCATTTTCTTTCCAAATTATAATCCAGTCCTCCAAAAGTTTGAGGGACTGTGACCTGGCCCTCTGTTCAAAAAGTTTGAGAAACCCTGGTCTAAGGATACCAAACAAAACCCAATTGGGATGGAAATAGATTAAGTCTTGGTTTGCACAATAGATATAAGTTTCACAATACTTACTGAGGAAACAGCCGCTAAAATCTCAATAGCTCCCGTGCTTAAGGTAATATATGGGATCATTTCTGGACTTAGCCCAGCTCCTTTGAAAATGTCATTTGTGTAGAACCAAATCTGTAACAAGAAGCATTTTTCAGTTATTCAATTTATAAAATAATCTTCATCCATCTAATTAAAATATAAGTCTTCATAGGTTTGATGCCTGAGTAATGATGGACTAGCCAAGGGATGCAAATTGTTGTGTTTAGCATCTAGCTCTTCAGACATGGTCCAACCCAAGCTGACACATACTGATGACTGAATGATGTCAATGGCACTTAACACAGCAATCCTATGCTCCAATTACTTTGGACAGTCTACTTGAATAAATCAAGTTTAAAATCCATGCTTTCTTTAGCATATGATTAAGAATCCTCATTACCCGTTTTGTACAAATAATTGTGTTGAAAACAGCGTTGTATAACTGTGATACTGAAAATGAAAAAGAAACAAAACTACATCAATATATTATGTATACATAATAATGATACATCAGGAGGTGTAAGTGTGGTACCTTTCAGTACCAATTCACTTCTGGGCACTTCCTCTGGTGCTTGCTTCCCATCTATTTATTTTAAATTTCTTCCCAATGGCTGTGTTGAAAGAGAATTGGGATCCCCTATCTTATGCCATCACCACTTCCCATAAACACCTCTGTGCCCCTAAAGACATTCTTAAGTTTTTTTTCATATCAGGAGTGACTTGAGAAACTTCAAGTCGCTTCTGGTGTGAGAGAATTGGCCATCTGCAAGGACGTTGCCCAGGGGACACCTGGGTGTTTTGATGTTTTACCATCCTTGTGGAAGGCTTCTCTCATGTCCCTGCATGAGGAGTTAGAGCTGTCAGATGGAGCTCATCCAAACTCTCCCCGGATTCAAACTTGTGACCTGTCGATCTTCAGTCTTGCCAACACAAGGGTTTAACCCACTGCGTCACCAGGGGTTCCTACATTCCTAAGTATTATAAAGTATGTGGAAAGTTTGTTTAGAAACTACTAACGCTCCTAAAAAAAATGTAATAAACTGCTGTCTGGAAGATGAGGAAGTGCCATTTGGGAAAAGAACTGTGGAAGGAAATTTATCTATTTATCTATTTATTTATTTCAAACATTTGTACCCTGCCCTTCTCAACCACCCCCCGGGGGGGGGGGGACTCAGGCACAATCCGGCACAATTTGATGCCATTACATATAAACAATACATACAGAATTACATATAAAACACATAAATTAATTTTAAAATTAGTTTTAAAATAAAAAGTACATTAATGAAAAGTGCAATAATACTGGCTGTCTAGCCTTATGTAGAAACAAATTCAGCGAGCACAACACAATCGGAAGCCTGTCCATAGTCCATTTTCCATAACATTATCATTATTACCATTGTCAATTATCTGCCAGCTACCCAAAGGCCTGGTCCCATAACCATGTTTTCAATTTCCTCCTGAAGGCGAGGAGGGATGCTGTTGACCTGATTTTGCTGGGGAGGGAGTTCCACAGTTGGGGGGCCACCACCGAGAAGGCCCTGTCCCTCGTCCCTGCCAAGCGTGTTTGCACCAAAGGCAGGGCCGAGAGCAGGGCCTCCCCAGAAGATCTTAAACTTCAAGGTGGGACATAGAGGGAGATATGTTCGGACAGGTAAGCTGGGCTCTCAACAGAGTTAAATGAAGGTACAGGATTTGGCAGAAGGAAAGGCATGCTAATTCTGTATAGGGGAGGTGGCTTTGTTCGATTATGTAGTGGGTTCTCTGTGTGTAATTAATGAGCAAGCTAGCTGTTCCCCCCCAGTATTTTTTGTGTGAAGGATAGTTGTTTTTCTCTTTGTGTGTGAGTGTAATGTATGTCTTTTTAACTTCTCCGGTTTGCTTATCTGTGAAACAGGTATTCTGAGTTGAAAATTAGTACTTTTTCAGTTGCTTGCTAGTTCATCTTCCTCAGCATCCTTTCTTTAATGGGTGTTGTGTGATTGATCACACTCACCAAAACAACCATTCTGTGAACAGGCAGTCCTTATCCACACCATGATAGCTGATTTGTGAGGGTGCTGACAGCATCTTCACAGAATTAGATATTACATTTTAAAGCTAGGTTATCTACTGCTCTCAAGGGTGCTCCATCTTGAGGAAAAGGGTCAGGGTGTTACACAATATACAGCATTAGCCACACTGTAAAGGGATCACCTGGAATCAAGTATTTTCAGATCTAAACTAAAAAAAAAGTTAATCACAAAGTACAGAGCCAGGGGTCATTTTCTGTTTTTAAAATTGCCAATAAGCATAAAGATCACTTATCTATAAGCAGATCAGGGATTATTTGGCCATGGTGGTGCATATATCTAGACTGGATTGCTGCAACACACTCTTCATGGGACACCCTTGAATCATAGAATCAAAGAGTTGGAAGAGACCTCAAGGGCCATCCAGTCCAACCCGCTGCCAAGAAGCAGGAATATTGCATTCAAATCACCCCTGACAGATGGCCATCTAGCCTCTGTTTAAAAGCTTCCAAAGGAGCTTCCACCACACTCCGGGGCAGAGAGTTCCACTGCTGAACGGCTCTCACAGTCAGGAAGTTCTTCCTCATGTTCAGATGGAATCTCCTCTCTTGTAGTTTGAAGCCATTGTTCCGTGTCCTAGTCTCCAGGGAAGCAGAAAACAAGCTTGCTCCCTCCTCCCTGTGGCTTCCTCTCACATATTTATACATGGCTATCATATCTCCTCCAGCCTTCTCTTCTTCAGGCTAAACATGCCCAGCTCCTTAAGCCGCTCCTCATAGGGCTTGTTCTCCAGACCCTTGATCATTTTAGTCGCTCCTCCTCTGGTCTGTCATCTTGTCAATATCGGAAGAGTCTTTAAACACTGCAAATGTTTCCAAATGCAGCAGCCAGAAGGCTGATTGATGCTCACCTATGGAATTGCACTACATCAAGCCTATCCAGCAGTTGTTCTCAACCTGTGGGTTTCCAGATGTTTTGGCCTTCAACTCCCAGAAATTCTAACAGCTGGTAAACTAGCTTGGATTTCTGGGAATTGAAGGCCAAAACACTTGGGCACTCACAGGTTGAGAACCACTCCTGTACAGTCTTCTGCAGCTACCAGTTTGTAATGACCATCAAAACTTTAACTTGGCCACGGTCTGACTTGGCCACGGTAGTCCACGCTTTGGTTACATCCCGCTTAGATTACTGCAACGCTCTCTACGTGGGGTTGCCTCTGAAGACTGCCCGGAAGCTGCAGCTAGTCCAACGCTCGGCAGCCAGATTACTAACGGGTGCTGGGTACAGGGAGCACACCACTCCGCTGTTACACCAGCTCCACTGGCTGCCAATTAGCTTCCGAGCACAATTCAAAGTGCTGGTGTTAACCTATAAAGCCCTAAACGACTCCGGCCCTGTTTACCTCTCCGAACATATTCTCCCCTACGTACCATCAAGATTACTAAGATCGTCTGGAGAGGCCCTGCTCTCGGTCCCACCGGCCTCACAAGCGCGCCTGGTGGGGACGAGGGACAGGGCCTTCTCGGTGGTGGCCCCACGACTCTGGAACTCTCTCCCACTGGAGGTCAGAACCGCCCCATCTATCCTGACATTCAGGAAATGGGTGAAGACGTGGTTGCGGAGACAGGCTTTCGATGAATGAGACAGCACCCTAGGATTGTGGATGGAAGATGATGTATACTTGTTTTTAATATGACGACTGACTACCGTAGTTTTAAATATAGTTGTTATTTTAAATATGTTATTGTAATTATGAACTATGATATTTTACTGTTGTATGTTTTTATGGTTGTAAACCGGGCTGAGTCCCTCTAAGAGGTGAGAAGCTCGGTATAGAAAACTTTGAAATAAATAAATAAATAAATAAACATCTCAGGTGCAGGATACCATGGAGACCACTTCCTTCTATAACACTGCTTCTTAAACTGTAGATCCTGACCCTACTTGGGGTCTCCTTAGCTCAATGTTGGGGCCTGAAAACATTGGAAACAGTAAAAGTATTCTGAATATCACCTAGTGGCTGCTTTAGATGAATCTGTTGCACAATGTTTACTGTAAACTCTGCAGAAGATGCTTCAGTTGTACTTCATAAAAAGGAAAATCAGCCTATTAAGCAAGTGGCATTTTTATCAGTTTTTTAAATCTCCAAAATCTGTACCTTCAGAATGTTATCTTGGAATTTATACTATTTTTATTGGACAAATATAGGGACCAAAAGAGATTAACATTCACATCCCTCAATGCGTATATTATTATAGACTGTCCTTTTAAATTATGGTACGTCCTACAACTAATTAATGCAACTCCTTTCGATCTCCTCTTCCCCTCTTTCTTTTGAGAAAAAGCCAGCTTTTAAAGCACAGAACTTGACAAGAACTGTCTTATTTCACCGTGTATGTCATTTTCCTATTCCTCATAAAGTATAATTATAACAAGAGCTATTCTAAAAAGAATAGGTGACAAGATAATGCCATGCTTCTTCTCAGTAAAATATCTTACACAAGGAACAGAAGAAGGATGTCATTAGTACTGAAATCCTGCAGTTAGCAGAAAGATATACTCTTTTTGTGGGGTATCTTTGTAGGTTTATTGAAGTTATGATGCAATTTATTTTTCATCTTATTCTCAGCAGGCAATGAAAAATGTCAGTAACATCTAATTAACTCTTACAGTGATACTGCAACTGTTTGCACTTGTTTGTCCTTGACAAATAATAACAAAATACTTCAGACGTACATGTTTCCTTTGAAAATAAAGTGCATCATAGCAATTGATTGTCAGGTTATGTCTTAACTGGATGTGACCATACTATCAGCTTATTAGAAGGCAAGTGGGTTCATTCAGAGAGTTCCCATTATTATTATAACTTCCTACATAAATGTTGGTTGTGACCATGCGAGTGGCGCCACCTATATGTAGAACTGTAAGCTGCAGGATTTGAACTGTTGTATCATGCCTGATTTTGCCTTTTTACCCTGTAAATATATAGTTGGATTGATTGGTTATTTATAGCTGTCAATCAATGTTGATTGCACCAGTTGAATTGCTCCTCCTGCTCAATTGTTTGACCCCACCTCTTCCTAGAGAGCAGGACAGTGTTTCCTTATCCATTCCACCATCAAACTTTCTATCAGATGGACATGAGAGAGAGACTTGGCTCTGAAGCCCATGATTAAGTTACCTCTCAGCACCAATTCTGAGGTTCTTACCCTTGAGACTAATGTTTCATGTTCAGATCAACCTGGACGATGTTGAGAAGTCCCAAGCGCCTTCAAACCAGTTCTTTGGCACTAGAGGAAGGCTTTGTGCTTTCAAAATATAGGCCAGTGGAATTGGGGTTGTGATTATTCCGATATTCACAGCCATTGAGAAAGAGGGACCTGGAAAAGCTTCTCAGCTGCAAAACTCCTTGGACCCAAGACAACCAGAGACTGTAATGTATATTTTCCTTTGAAACTTCCAGCTTATTGCCTTAAAGGGATAACTCTTTGTGAACAATTAAACTTATTTTGAGTTATCTACAGTGTTTTGGTCTTTGGGAGTTCTAATTCTCCTAAAGGAGGGAAAGAAGCAATCCCCTGGGGGAAAGATGTCACGTCCATGCCTCTTTCACTAAGAGTTATAGCCCCCAGGCGCGACGGCATATTGGTCTATGTGTGGAGAAAGAGGAGTGTGTGCTGTCGATTTTGAAGTGCACTGTCAATGTCCCATTTCGTCCAATTAATATGGACTGAGGAAATGCTGAGGTTATCTTGTCAAAAACGTCGTGGTAAAGGGAATGTGATACATTCCTAACATTTGTCTATTGTGATGCCATTAATCACATGATGTGCCCTTACACGTATCATTTTGCTTTCAGAATCAGTCAGCAAAGGGAGCCAAATTCATACTGGGACCTTGGCATGGGATTTTGGGCAACTTTTTCCTGCTGCTGGAAGAAGTTTGGGTCATCACACTTGCCATTTGAATGGAGTAAAAATGATAGTGGCATTCAAGGGCAATGCATATGATTAATGTAATTCATGTGTTCCTTTAACCTTGGATAAGCTGTCATAAAAATATTGCTTAAACATTCTCAAGATTGTCAAACATTACAGCAAAAACTAGCACAAATCTTCTAAGAGATATCTTCCATAAATACCAAAAAGTCCAAAACCATAGCAACATGGTTACTCACGGCATTGAGGCCACAGAGCTGGTAGCAGGCCATGGTTACAACTACAGTCAGTATCTGCCATCGCTTGCTGCTATCACACAACAGCTGAAAGATGGAAGCCACTTGGATATTTCTCTGCAGTCGGCTTTCTTCCAAAACCTCTTCTATTTCATATGACACGTCAGATTTCCCAAGGAAGGTCTGAAATGCTGTAAAGCCGCAATGGAAACATTTGTTTACAATGCAAATTGTTGCTGTGTGCAAAAAGTGGCATCAGTCACACTGAATGAACACTATTATATTATTAATATTATGTAATTATTACATTTCTCTCTCTCTCTCTCTCTCTCTCTCTCTCTATATATATATATATATATATACACACTAGCTGTACCCGCCACGTGTTGCTGTGACCAACCTTCCCTCCCTCTTTCTCTCCTTTGTTCTTTCTCTCCTTCTTTCCCTCCCTCTTTCCTTCCTTCCCTCTTTTTCTTTCCTTTCTTCCTTCCTTCTTTACCTGTTTCTTTTCTCGCTTCCTTTGCTCTTTAATTCCATCCTTCCTTGTCTCTTTCCTTCCTTCCTTCCCTCCCTCTTTCTCTCTTTTGTTCCTTCTCTCCTTCCTTCCTTTTCTTCCTTTCTTTCTTTCCTTCTCCCCTCCTGCTTTCCCTCTCTCTCCCTCCTTCTCTCTCTCCTCCTCTCCTTCCTTTCTTCTCTACCTTTCTTTCTTTCCTTCTCTCCTTTCCCTCTTTCTCTCTCCTTCTCTACCCTTCTTTCTTTCTCTCCTTCCCTCCTTCTTTCCCTTCTTCTTTCCCTCTTTCTCTCTCCTTCTCTCCCTCCTTCCTTCTCTACCCTTCTTTCTTTCCTTATTTATTTATTTATTTATTTACTTTGCTTATATACTGCTGTATCTCAAGCCCGAAGGCGACTCCTTCCTTCTCTCCCTCCTTCTCTCCTTCCTTCCTTCCTTCCTTCCTTCCTTCCTTCCTTCCTTCCTTCCTTCCCCTTTTCTCTGTATGTGTTTTGTGTGTGTATATGTATATATGTGTGTATATATGTGTGTTTGTGAATATATATATATATGTGTGTGTGTGGTTTTGTGCATGCGTTGTAATGTATTTCGGGGGAGGGTTTGACTTTTTGGGGGGGGGGGTTGGACTTCTACTGTGTTTTTTCTGTGTTTTATGACTGATGGACACTCGTTGGCCTGATAGGTGTATTGTGTCCAAATTTGGTGTCAATTTGCCCAGTGGATTTTAAGTTAATACCACAAACGAACATTAACATTTTATTTATATAGATATATATAAAATATCTGCCAGTACTGTATAAGAGAAACACTGCCCACAATCTAAGATGCACCATGAATTAATGATCACAAACTTAATTAAAAAGATGGCACCAAGCTGACTGAGAAAGAAAAAAAATGTGAGATGTGGTCACAAAGGTATTGTGCAGATAATAATGAAAGAGTGGATTAAAGGTAAAGGTATAGGTTTTCCCTTGATATTAAGTCTAGTCGTGTCCAACTATGGGGGTGCTGCTCATCTCCATTTCTAAGCTGAAGAGCTGGCACTGTCCGTAGACATCTCCTAGGTCATGTGGCTAGCATGACTGCATAAAGCGCCATTACCTTCCTGCCAAAGTGGTACCTACTGATCTGCTCACATTTGCACATTTTGAAACTGCTAGGTTGTCAGAAGCTGGAGCTAACAACGTGAGCTCACCCCATCCTGCGGATTTGATCCGCCAATCTTCCGATCAGCAAGTTCTGCAGTTTAGTGGTTTAACCCACTGTGCCATCGCGGCCCCTAAGAGTGGACTACACATAAAATATATGGGTTCTGGGTGCAATTTAGAATTGTTGAAAGAACATGCCTTAAAAACAAAACAAACAAAAAAACCCAGAAGAGATGTTGTACACATTTTCACAGATAGAGTAGTTAATTGGCTGCCTTAGAACAGACACAAAATTGTACAAAGTGTGAAACAGGTAATTTTTACATCAGACATTCCTGGCAATAAAGAAAACGGCTGCAAAAGAAAGGCACATTTGTCGCTTCACATAGGTTCTTTTTAAAAATAAAAAAAGCTACGTGAAATATGAAATGAAAGGCAACACAAGCATGCCAAACCTTTCTCTGCTGCTTTTGGATCATGTTTTTCAAGCAAAAGAAAGCGAGGACTTTCTGGAAGAAAGGGCAAGACCACAAGCTGGAGGACCGATGGGGCAATAATCATTCCAAATAGGTAGGGCCAGAGGGATTCCTGTAAAGAAGGTCAAGGCAAAGTCTTAATACAACTGTAATAACAAGCAAACAGAAATATATTGTTGTCAATAACTCAGTTGCACAACACTTGCTTCCCATGCTGAAGGCTCATTTACTGTGAATCTCCAAAAAAATTTTGAGTGAGGCTATCATATTGCAATGCTAAGGTCTACATGAAGCCTTGAAGAGACAATGCCATTCACAGTGAATCCTACCAAGGCATACAGAACCATGGTCCTATTCAATATAAGAGTTACAAATTGTGACAGTCTGTGGTGAGTTTCTGTCTAGGATTTTTTTTAAAAAAATGTGGTGGAAGACATCCATAAATCGTACTGTGTTGCCTCATGATATTGAGATGACTTTGAACTCCTGAAACACGTATTATGGGAAGTTCTACCAAGGTATTGTCAAAGGCTTTCATGGCTGGAATCACTAGGTTCTTGTGGGTTTTTTCGGGCTATAGAGCCATGTTCTAGAGGCATTTCTCCTGACGTTTCGCCTGCATCTATGGCAAGCATCCTCAGAGGTAGTGAGGTCTGTTGGAATTAGGACAATGGGTTTATATATCTGTGGAATGGCTGGGGTGGGGCAAGTTCTACCAAGCTTTGACTATGGACCCAGTGGCAGAAAGTTTCTGCAATGTAAGCACCAACCTTGTTCAATATGGAAAGGATTATCACTGGAAGGTTTGTCTCGAGGGAAGAACTAGCCACAGCATGACTATAAAGTCAAGGTTTCCCCTTGACATGAAGTCTAGTCGTGTCCGACTCATTTCTATTTCTAAGCTAAAGAGCTGGCGTTGTCTGTAGACACCAAGGTCATATGGCCACTGGCAATGACTGCATYGGGRGCCCTTACCTTCCCGCCGGAGTGGTACCTATTGATCTACTCACATTTGCATGTTTTTGAACTGAAATTACCCCTTCTACCCCAAACCCCTCATCCCCCCCAGATTAGCTCTCTCCTCCCAACCCCCCACCCGCAATACCTCCCCCCTTCCCAACCCTCACCCCTTCCCACACAAACCCAACTTAACTTCCCCCCTTCTTTTTTTTCTTTTTAGCCCTCACTGTAAAAATTTATTGAAAAAGAAAATGGATTACATGAGTCCGCACTGCCAGATAATCTGGAATAAACAGAAAACCTGGGATCAGATCCTGGGATATAGGGCCTGTTTAGAAGGACCCATAAAACCCAGTTCAAAGGAGATATTGTGAATTATCTGCCTTGATATTCTGTGTTTTATGGCTGTGTAAAAGGGCTCTGAGTGTCCAGGGCATTGGAAGGCAAGCCTGCTCCTTCTTCCTTATGGCAGATTTGTAAACATTATTTACACATTTCTATTTATAGCTTTGTAGTTAACTTAATCAACAGTGTTTCAATAACTCCGCTTTCTTTAAATATAATAATGTCCGATGTAAGATATGACAAACCTTCCCAAATATTTCAGGTAGCCCCAAAACCTGTCCAGTGAAGACACCAACACAAATGAAGATTGCTGTAATTTGCCCCAAGGAGCCACGGATCTGTTTAGGAGATATTTCACTCAAATACATTGGGAGGGCACTCAGAGATACACCTATGAAAGGAAACAAAGAGAGAAAAATAATGTATTCGTTTTTAAAAAGCATTCTTAATGGATATTTATTAAACTTTGAATAGGAGTCCTTAAGACTGTGGTTCAATTGAGAAAACGAAAAGCTAGATGCATGAACATTTGAAAATATCCATGGGATAATACGAATCTGTTAGATGATATGATACTTTGGTTAAGAATATAAGCAGTGAGGTATGAAACCACTGGTTGCAAAACAGCTAGCCTTCCGAACACAAATTTATCAAACAAGCAAGCTATTATCTTCCCCCATGTCCTACAGCATCTTAAATTTAGGAAATGATAGTTCTGAATGTATGGTTGAGATCTGTGATAGGACTGATTGGGTGGATACAATCAAATTTAATCCAAATAAGATAAAAAGTTGAGTCTAACAGGGTCTTATAATTTCTGTGAACAGGTTTGTTGGGGGGGGGGGGATGCATATCTTTGAGAAAATCGCAATGTTCTGAAAGGATCAGGATTTCAAGCATTGCTCCTGAAATCCTGAGTATCAATCCTGACCTCTAGTGTCTATTTATTATTCTTGTTGCTACTTATTATTTTCACATCATTAGGTACATGGGACTCCAGGAAGAAAATGTTGAACATGTTTACATTCTAACACAGAGAAACAACAGCTATAGCTATTATTTGCCAGTTAAATATAGGCTACTGTCATTCATGCTTTCCATACTTAATTAATGTACTAATGGCTGTATGGAAATAGCATCCATCCCAAAATGCTGTACTTGTTAGATTAATTTCTGGGATTAATTCAAAATTTCGGTTTTAACATTTAAAGTCCCAAATTACATGGCTCCGGATGATGCCAGGGAACACTTTCTTCTATATGAATTTACTGCTCCTTCCTGACACTTAAGACTACTCAGTGAGATCCATTTTAGTTTAGGCCACACAAGAAGCAGACCTTTTGAGTTCTGGCCAAAGTGATCTTTCCCTTGAAAAGTTCATGTGGCCCATTCTTCATTAGCTTTTCAGATATATAGGTAGATATACAAGGGTTGAATGAAAAGTAATGCCTCCATCTTCGTAACTCCTCAACAGATGGCACTTCTGGTATGAGGCAGGTACTGGATTGTTCAGGAGATTCTCCTCTACAGTTCCATTTTGGCAGGAAGCCTTAGCATTGAATGGTTGTGTTGTTAAAGTAAAGTATGGAACCCTGCGCAGACGGTCGGTCAATACGACTTAAGCAACATGCAGTCATTGAATTCTTGACAGCAGAAGGTGTCACCCCAAAGGACACCTTCTGCTGTCAGAGAATGTAAGCTGTTTATGGTGATTGTGTTGATGTGAGTACTGTGCATCCTGACCTTTAAAACTTTATATGGCCAGGGTCCATTGTATCTTAGAGACCATCTCTCCTTCTACCATCATCGGAGGTCGCCACGACCATCCCAACGCGATTTGCTCTATATGCCGGGTCCTAGGGAAGTGCACTTGGAAAGCACCAGACGCAGGGCCTTCTCTATTTCTGCCCCTGCCTTATGGAATTCCTTGCCTCCCTATTTGAGAGCCATGCGTGACTTAGGGCATTTTATCCTAGCACTTAAGACCTGGCTTTTTACTAGAGCATTTGACCCATGTTAATATTTAATATTTGTATGTATGTGTTTTATCCTGTATAATTTCTGCACTGTAAATCGCCTGGAGCATCTTGGATGGAGGGCGATTAATAAGTAATTAAAGATGATGATGATGAATTAAGTTTAAAGATGTTGAGGTAACACCTTCAACATCTGTCAAGAATTCAATGACTGCACGTTGCTTAAGACTCATTGACCAACTGTCTGTGCAGGGTTCCATACTTTGTTCAATGCTAAGGCTTCCCGCGAAAATTGAACTGTAGAGGAGAGTCTACTGAACCAGCCAGTACCTGCTGCATACCAGTTCTGCCATCTATTGAGGAGTTACAAAGGTGGAGGCATTACTTTTCATTCAACCCTCATAGATATATGTGCACAGTTAGCCTTCCACATTCACTGGGAGTAGGGACAACTTTGAAGGTGGGAAAAGGTGATTAAAGGAAACACTATTTTTGCACTTGAGAGAATACCTCTCTAGTGCATTTTGACAAGGCAGTTATCTCAATGCTGATCCATAGCAGGTCTATTTTAACCTTTGTTTTAAATTTCATTTTTAACTTTTGAAGTTTTATCCAATTAAAATGATGATATTTTAATTACTTTTAACTTTTAACCTAATTAAGTTTTAATTGTGTTTTAATGTATGTTAGTTCACTATTACAGGAGTTTTAGGATGGTGATTAGTGTCTATTTGTGTACTGTTTTGTTTTTGTCTTTTACTGTTGGTACGGTCAGTGGGCTAATCAATAAACTTTGCTTGCTTGCATGGCAGCTACACTAAACTGACCTGATTATAGCAGCAACACATGTGAGCATAAGCAAAACCCTTACGTCACCGCTCGGCCACCATCCAAACCTTGTTTCCCTCTAACTTTCCTTAATGATGCCTGATGGGCACTAAAATGATATCTGACACTGGGCCTAGAATAATGATATCCAGTGTGCTGTTGACATGACAGAGGAATCCCTTTCCCCTCTCCCCCTTCTGATCTCCTCGGAGTGCTGGATATCATAATTTCAGAATTGTCTGCTTCTGTTTTGGTGCCCATCGGACATCCCTAAGATAAGTTAAAGGGGGTAAGGCAGGTGCCATTCTCTTTCTCCAGGCTGCTTCAGACTGGGAAAAGTGTGATGGCATTTAATCAAATGTGCTACTTCACAACAGTTGATTAGACAGGCCCAAAGTCACTAGATAATCCAGAGCTTTGGGAAAGTTCCAGATTATCCTGTGACTTCAGGTAAAGTGGGTCAATGCCACGGTATGCCAGATCAGCTCCTGCATTGTATAATCACTAGAGGTGATCCAGCTCCCTTGTGGAGAAAACAACATGTCAAGATGCGTCCTACATATTCTGGTGGACGTGGACCACAGAATTGTGCTGTAGAACCTAGACATTGCTAGTGAGAATGTGCTAATTCAAATGTGCAAAAGGCAAACTCACACATGTGGAGGGTCAACTGCTGTTGAATTATATAAGGTACTTCTGCTCTGATTATTTTTGTTTTTGCAATTGCTTTGTTTTGTTTACAGCTTTGACAATTTTACTGAAAAGTGTTGTGACAAATATCTATATTTACACAGAATATGGAGTAATAATACAGTGGGCCCCGGTATCTGTAGAGGTGCAGTTCCAGAGTCCCTTCCTTATAAAAACAAAAATATGTGGATGCTCAAGTCCCATTATATACTATGGTGTAGTACAATGGTTCCCCAGGCAGAATATTCCATTGCCTACTAACAATGATAGCTTTTTTTGAGTGTTAATATTTATATAGTCAAATAAGCACATCCTTAGATAAGAGGCATGTAATGTGCAGCTGTCTACACAGCCTACACTAGAAAGCTCATAATAATGATGGTGCTGGGATTCTCATCTGCAGAATTTGAACTTTGTTGGCACTCAAATTCTGTCCTCAAACACTCCTTTCCATTTTTTTTCTTTTGTAACTGGAATGGTCAACATGGAATGGAAATGGAGGCAAAATACACTGATCTCACCCTTCCCCTGCCACTCAAATCAAGGTAGAGATGATATATGCCAGAGGAAAAGATGGGTCTGAACTGGTAGAAGAGCCCGTCCTGAGTCGTACCTCCATCAATGCCCATTATGAATCGGCCTACAATCATCATTTCCATGAAACCTGCCAGATGAGATAATGCCATCAACAGCGCAGCTACAATGGCGAATATATTGTTTAGCAGCAGCGTTCGTTTTCTGGAAGGAAATAAACTATATTTCACACACATATTGCATGGTTACAGCACCACCTAGCAAATACCATAAGAAACTACAGTCATTATTAGCCCATTATGATAAGTGATACGACGGAAGAGATGAAAACCTAACATCCATAATGTCAAAAAAGGCACATTGTAAAAGCATGCTGCTCGGTGTCATGGAATACCATTAAGGATGGCATTCCATCAAATGGCATGACCTCAAGATCCCCAATCACATCCCCTTGGATGTATTGTACCCTTCAACCAGCCCATATCTTAAAGCAGGGATAGGCAACTGCCACAAGTTGGAGAGTTTAGAAAACCTGTGAAGAGAGGTACCAATAGTGTTGTCATCCCAATTTTTAAACTTTCTGAGATGCTAGGGCTTTCCTCCCTCCAAATATGCACCCAATGTTTCCTCAGGAGGATACTTTAAGATTTTCTTTAAATCAAGAGCAACTCAACATTTGGAATTCTCAAAGAGATCACCAAGAAAAGCAGCCTGCTTTTGGTATTCAAGAAATCAGAGGTTAGGAAAACTTAAGAAAGAAAACAAAATGATGTGGTCAAATCCTATTCTTATAATGAATAATCCCATCAAAGAAAATAATTTTGCACTAGCAAGGGTGACATGGGTTGTTGTAGGTTTTTCGGGCTATATGGCCATGTTCTAGAAGCATTATCTCCTGACGTTTCACCTGCATCTATGGCAAGCATCCTCTGAGGTAGTGAGGTCAGACCTTACAACCTCTGAGGATGCTTGCCATAGATGCAGGTGAAACGTCGGAGAAAATGATTCTAGAACATGGCCATATAGCCCGAAAAACCCAGTGATTCAAGCCACGAAAGCCTTCGACGATACAAGGTTGACATGGTTCAGATTGTGCAATATACTAACAAATCTCATCTGTAGCCAGGACGCGAAGCCTAAGGTGTGGGTGGGCACTTGAATGCCCCCTGTGAAGGAGGCCAGACTTGGTTGGGGCCGGCTGGCTTCACATGACAAGAGTGGATTGGCGGCTATTTAAAGTCAGTCTGCACCTGCAATAGTCCTCTGTCATTTGTTTTGTGACTCACCCTCCCACCCTATGGTCAGTGTGAATAGAAACCAGTCACTTATGGGCCAGGTAGGAATCCCCCCAAGAGTTAGTAGGGGTTTTTGCCTACTCCACACTATTTTATTTGGGTGTGGTGATTGGCTTAGGAGTGGAGTCACTTAAATAGGTTCCCTTTGCATTGAAGAGCTGAGACAGTCCCACTAGACATCATGGTACCCCTCCCCCCTTAAGTGGGGGTGAAGGATTGACCACCATAACAGTTCATGTAAGTTTTATGGGATGGGGACTTGCAATAAGGGGTTACCCTTAGGGCTGGAATGAGTGCTCTCAATTGTGAAAAACTATGAGGTTTGGGAGGAAGCACCCTTGGGATGGCCTTCCAGTAAGGATTACCAAGAAGTTCATCCAAAGAAATTTGGTTGGTCTTCAGAATCTATGTTGCTTGTATACCCTGGGAAGTGGTCAGAGGGAGTGACACCTGGCTCAAGGGTTTTAACACTGAGCTAAGTCTTTACAAGTTAACAGCATTTTCATTCACAGGTGGTTCAAAAAGTTATAAATAAATAGGTCAGGAAATGGCCCTTTAGATCCATTTTTTGTGTCTGGACTCTCTATTTCATGGCGGGAGTTCAATTCACCAAACAGGGCTTTCAGGCATCTGTCACTTATTGCAGTTTTGAACACATAACTGTTTCCTTTTACATCCATTTACTAGAAATTGTGTTTTGTTGAAACAAGAGTAAGGAAACCATGATATCCTGCATATATTATAATGTTTTGTTACTTCTGATTCAATGGAGACATAACACTTAAACCATGATTACCTGTTACGTCTCCATTGAGGGTGGAATCTGTAATCCTTGCCATTTGAAGCTTGCAAATGCATTATTATTATTATTATTATTATTATTATTATTATTATTATTCTGATACAAAAACACAGTATGTCACAGCAAACGAGATATATATGCTGGATTTCATATCACAAAATCACTTCCCAAGTGTCTAGGAGTGTGTGATGTATTTTTGAATGATGTGTGCAGATCCAAGTAAAGTCGCCTTTTGCAGTTGACAGATTGTGATTTTGTCAATGTTTATTGTTTACAAATGCTGGCTGAGATCTTTTGGCATGGCACCCAGTATGCCGATGACCACTGGGACCACCTGTACTGGTTTATGCCAGAGCCTTTGTAGTTCAATTTTGAGGTCCTGATAACAGCTGTTGTTTTTCCTCAATGCGACTGTCACCTGCTATGGCGACATCAATAATCCAAACTTTTTTCTTTTCCATAATCGTGATGTCTGGTGTATTGTGTTCCAAAACTTTGTCAGTCTGGACTCGAAAGTCCCACTGTTCATTTTCCACTACCTTTGCAGGTTTATGATCCCACCAATTATTTAATGCTGGTAGGTTATTGTTGTTGTTGTTGTTGTTGTTGTTGTTGTTGTTGTTGTTATTATTATTATTATTATTATTATTATTATTATTATTATTATTACATTTATCTATTTATGCCCCACTTTTTCTCTCCACAAAGGAGGCTCAAAGCAGCTTCACTGAGAGTAAACGCTCAATGGTATACAGGCAGTTGCCAAACATCTGACTTAGAAATGACTCCTAGTTAAGAATGAGAGTGAGACAACAGGAAGTGAGAACAATCTACCCCTAGGAAAGGAAATTCACCCTTACAGGAGTTATCATGAGAAAAAGATGTTTCAACTGAAGCTTTAGCCTCAATTCTTGTTTCTACAGCAAGCCAATTTTTTCAAAATCCAATTATCACAGGAAAAGATGTGAGGGGAAATCTTCTGAACTGGGGCACAGACAGCAAAGCAAACACCATAGGGGTGTTAACCCTTCCCTATGCTATCCAAAACTTTTGTGTGTGTGTAAGCACATGTATGTGTGTGTATCTAGATCTATATCTATACCTATATATCTATATACATATGGCTGGAGTTGCACTTTAAAAATGTACCTGTTCCGACTTACATACACTTCATCTTAAGGACAAACCTACAGAACCCATCTTTTTCATAAGTTTAATTGATTTTAATGTTTTTATTATTTGTTGTTATTGATTGTTTTTACTGTGTCTGTTTTATTTGTAATCCTTGGGCTTGTCCTTCTGTAAGCCGTCCCGAGTCCCTTCGAGGAGATGGAAGCAGGGTACAAAAATAAAGTTATTATTATATATTATTATTTCATGACTTGATGACTGCCTGTATATATTAAATGCTTTTTGATAAATCTTCTTTGTCTTTATTACTGCTGTATGTACACATTTTATGTGAATATTATCTGAGTGGTTCACTATCAATGCTATAAGTATTTTTGAAGTCAGACATAAAATGCTGCTTTGCAAATGCATAAAATCTTTCAATATGGCAAATCTAGTTATATGACCAAGTACAAAATCAATTTTGATAGTATGGGACTTCATCCAGGTGTTTGATATACTATGCAAATACACTTCTTGGAAATCAAATACTTGCTCATGTTTCTTGTGAAAAATCCAGGATTTTTGCACTGTATATTGTGTTAAATGGCCAGTTGTTCTTTGAAACAAAGGATATACACAGATAAATCAGAGTTTTTAATCTAAGTTTTATCTGGACATGTGTGTGTGTGTGTCTATATATACTTACCGGCCAAAATATTTGACAGTTGGGGTAACAATTAAAGCTCCGACAAGTCCACCGATAGCAAAAATAGAAACAGATATTGTCCAGAATAAGGTAACTGATTGTTCTGTCATTGACTGGTTATATCTTCTTTCCCAAGTTTCATTGTAAAACTTCTTGATGTACTAAAAGAAAAAGAAAAAAGAGAGAAAAATGAATGGTAAAAAGTGCTACACAGTTTAAAAAGGTGACAGCTATCTCATATTTATTAACAGGGCATCTTAACCTTTAGTAAATTACTTATCCTGGTTAACAATCTGCCAGCGTATGAGGGTTGTAAACCAAGAAGCTATATGTTGCTGCCGCTGCTGTGTGTCTTCAAGTTATTTCTACCCTAAGGCAAACTTATCATGGGGTTTTCTTGGCAAGATCCGTTGAGAGAGTCTTTTCCTTTGCCTTCTTCTGAGGCCAGTAGAGTGTGATTTGCTCAAGGTCACCCAGTGGATTTCCATGGTGAAGTGGGTTCTGAACCCTGGTTTCCAAGATTGAAGTTCAATACTCTAATCATTCCACCATGCTGCCTCTTTGAGTAAATAGCACTTTATAATAAATAAGGAGCTATTTAGAAAAAGTGTATGAATTACGATTTTGGGAGATTTTATGAAATGCATTAGAACAAAACTGCAGATTAGTAAATTGCAAAGTTTTATGGGCTGACAATGATTAAATTCCTCCAGGCATTAACAGCAGCTACTCTGACGACATCGTTTTAAAGGCTTGTTTTCAAAACTGTTCCAAAAATAACACCAGGAAATTGCTGCAAAACGAAAGTGGAACATTTCAAATGATTCGGCATTTGTTACATTCAGATTTCAGCTACAATATAAAGTCACTTTTGTAAAAAAAAAGGATTGTTTCAGAAAATCGCACAGTTAAACGAAAAACAGGACTGAATTAAGGCTTGTGAAAGAGACTCTAGGGATTTTGTAAATTAAGGGCCCTTCTACACACACCCTAAAACACAGAAGAAAATGGGATAAGAGGGTGATGGTAGCAGTGGCGGCAAAATGATATTTCATGAAAATGTGTACTGATTTGAAATAACAGCTGAAAATATGTGTTTAAAAGGTGTGCTGAAAACTCAATTTTAGTCAAAAATGTTCGTGTTCACATTACTGTATATCCCTGCAGTCAAGGAAGACATGTGATTTCGTTCGTATACTCTCCAGTGCTCCAGTGCATGTGCTCATTTTAAAATCCTGAAACAGCTGATCAGGAATGTAAACAAATGGAGCCATGAACACACAGGTGGCTAAAATGGAAGCACAAATGGAAAGCAATTACATTGAGAACTCTCTGCAACCATTAATTTGTTCTGGTGTTTATGAAATTAACCAGACCTTCGATTTACAGTAGGGTGAGGTGAGATATTAAAACATCTGCTTGTATGTACATTTAGATATCCATATGAGCGTATACAAGGTCCAGCACATATTGCAGTCATTTTTTTAAAAAGTAAACTTCAATCGAATGTCCCCTTCCATCTTATGGATTTGTAAAATCTGTTACAAACAAAGGTGTCAGGATGGTGGTGGACAGGCCCGTAGCCAGGATTTCATTTTGGGGGGGGGGGGGCTGAATTTTTTTTCAGGGGGGGGTTCGGGGGGGGGGGCTGAGTTTTTGGGGGGGGGGGGGAGTCTGAGTGAAAGAGGGTCTCTCCTAGCAAACCTTTTGTATCGTTATCCCAATACCCCCATGCATATGGGATATATTGAGTATGGTGATCAGATCATGATATGAATAAACATAACAGTTTAAATAATGCACCAGTAAGGCCTTTTCGCGAACCATGATGAGAATTTCGGGGGGGGGGGGGGGGGGTGAAGCCCCTCGCCCCCCCCCCCCCCCCCCCCCCCCCGCTACATGCCTGGTGGGTGACCATTTACCTGGAACTGCAGTCAAAAAAAAAAGGAAATTT